GCTATCATGGGGACATAAATTATGATTTTAATTTTTATACCCAAAACTAAACCTACGGGTGTATAAAACGAGACAGAGAAAGGAAGCATGTAGTATTTAATTGACGTCGCAAATGTTCATTACATCTTTAGGAAAAAAATGTAGTATCATTGCTAGATACCAGGCTGACACTCCGTGGGGACAGGAAGAATTTGTATGGGAAGACTTTTTTGTCCATTGGGTCACGAGTTTTTCTTTTGATATTTAAAGTATAATTGCAGTCAAGTATTAATTCAAATGAACTATGAAAGATCTGATTTTATAACCATACTAAAATTTAAGCCCTAATACTCAAAGTGTAAGTTTTTAACAATTTATACTATTAGGGACAAGTATTGACAAAAAAAAGTTGATTAACCCATATATACTGTATGTATTATGTAGACATAGATGTTATTTACTTAGCTGTTTGCACTTTGCACCCACAATATTTTCTCTGCTTAGCCTGGAGGTAGACTGGTAGAGAATGCCCTGTTGCATTAAGTCCGCCTTTTTGTACTTGGTGTGCAAATAAAGCATAAATAAATAAATAAATAAATATATAATAAGAAAAAGAAATTTAGTAGTGCGAGTGACTTTTGACAACTTTGACAAGCAAAAGCGCCAAAAACATAGTTTAGACATTGGGACGGTAGATGGCGTGCAGACGATATTTTGTGGAACGTAGATTCCTAGGTGCAACGATGCGGTCCTTCCTAACCTTGTACTGCATGCACTACGTTGAAAGAAAAAGCGTTGCCAAACTTCATTCGCTTATTTGACTGTAATAAAATACATTCTAAAGTAGTTCTCAATTGTCTCGCGGTTGGATTTGCCCGCGGAATTTCTTGCGTGTTATATTTTTGTATGATTTTCATTGGTTCAATTCGCAATATTTCTAGTATGTATTTGATTCCAATATAATTGAATATATTGTAATTTTTGATGATTTCAAATCCTGTGATTTCAAATCTCGTCACAATACTAATTACCTACGTCATACGTGTCGGTGTTGTGTACAAAACTACAAAGTTAGTATTTTATATTTTAATTGGTTTAAATATGTTTTTTTTTTTTGGTCAACAATAAATTCAATCATAAATCGGTAAGCCACCAGTAGTCACAAAATTAATTTTGCAAACATTTGCAAAATATAGTTTTGCCGGGTTACGTAAAAATACCTACTACGTACTCGTATTTTGCAAACAGTTTCAGACAGACACATATTATTATTAGTCTGTTTTATTTTGTTGTAGTACCAAGCTCAAGGTCGCGTCGTATCGTTTGTTACGGTCCTGAATTTTTTTAGTTGATTGGTCCTTGGATAACAGATGAAAATAATGGTTATGTATTTGATTTGTAATGGTTATTTTAATTTTTTTTATTAATATTTAACAATAAAAATATATATTATTAACAATAAATACTAAACTATATAAAAATAGAATTGAAATAAATGTAAGTATATTGTTTAAAAATTGGTAAATATGTTTACGAGCCGTAGTAGCTCAGGTGGTTAGCGCTCATTGTAAATTTCTCAGTACGCGAGCAACCAGAGTCCGAGCCCTGCCGGCACCAGTGACATTTTCTTTTCTTGCCCTAAAACTAATCTAATAAAAAAATATCAACAAGTCAAATGATTTTTGTTTTAATTGTATTTTTGTAGTAGTTTTTTTTAGAATCTACATTATCGTTGTATATTTCTTTTTATTTTGTATTTACTATAAAATCAAAGGGTGAAATAATACTTCATTAGGTAGGTACAACCACCTGCTCAATTCAATAGGCTGCTCTTTAGATTTTTGTTTTACTAATAGCTTTTGTAGTTGTGAGTGCTTTGAAATTAGGAAATATTTTTTCACCTTCCTGGTTGTTATCGCATATTAAATCGTGTTTTAGATTTGTTGTTATATCTCTTGTTTCTGAATAGCTTCTTACGTGTTAAGTACTAATGTAATTTTTTTGTAATAATTGGTTATGTTGCAAATCATCTGTGTTATTAATTTTGAGTGAACAGGCATGTATCAGGCGTTTTACTTCAAATACTTGTTTTGATCAATAATTTCAATAAGGCAATAAAATAAAATTGCGTTTTATTGTTCTTAGTGTTGACATCATTTCTTAAAATTATTATTGAATTAAATAGTTTACGCCAACATATATTACGTTTATTTTTATAACATTATCGTAAAATACTGGTATTCAGCTGAATCCGGTTTGATTGGGAGGAGCCGACCCCGATATAGTTGATAAAAGGCTCTACGCAGATAATGAATCGTACATAATAGATATCATAGCAGATGGCGTTCAGTAGCTCTGCCTACCCATACAGAAAAAAGAAAAACATTTTTTTTCACGCGTTCATTCGTAAACATAGGGACTAAGAATTCACTCACGTCTGTATGTGTAAACGACACTATTCAATAAACAGAAGTTATTTCAAGGCTTTGAGTCGAATTGTGTGGATTTTGAGGCAATGATATGACCTAGTACAATGAAGTATAATGTCTGAGTACCGCGGTAGCTACTACTACGACTTAATGTTCCAAAAAAAACAAAATAAACTAAAAAATTATGACTTCAGCGCCATCTCGCGGGAAAATGGCCAAGAACAGACTGTATGTTTCACCTTAATTTGAATAACTTAATACGAAACCCTCTATAAAATTTTACTGCAAAAGAATAAAAACATAATGGATTTTATCATATAATCATGCCTTGGTCAGTGCACATTTGAATGTAATATTAAACACCGGGGGAAAATGGATATTTCGTTAAACGTGGACATGTAAGCAGAAAAATACTCCTCGTTAAAAATATGGTTTATTACAAAAATAATAATGCTACAAGTAAACCTCTAACTTTTTTTTTTCAAAGAGAGAAATGCTCCCAACTTCAAATTATGGTAAACTCCTTATATTTTACTTATTATTAGAATAGTGTTATTAATAAATAGAATTATGCAGCTTACAACTAATATACATTTAACCAAATAAGAAACACAAAAATCAAAAATATTAAAATAATTATATATAAAACTAATTTTACTCAAAGTTTAATATGTTAACTAAGGAAGGTAATACAAACTATACATATATGTAAAAAAACTTTTAAAATTGTTGACTAATCTAAATCTAAATAAGTACCGTGAAACCTGGCAACTTTGCCATTTTTGGAAGGACATTCCAACAAAAATTGTACTGTCAAACTGGGCGTCAATGTTAAATGTGACATAGATTTGGTATTTATTAGTGATTTAAACAAATACTAACATTAAATAGACAAAATACTCGAAAAAACAAAATGGAAAGTGAACCTGATAAACTTTGTCATCAGGGTTTATGATGAAAATAATAGGATTTGACTTCAAGGTTGAAGTTAAGTTTACCTCATAATATAATACACAACACTCAGAGTTATGATTTACTCCTTTAATTGTGCTGTAAATAGCAAAGTTTAATCTTGTCTTTGCCACGTCCTACCATTTTACAATATTTCATACAAACTGGAAAATATGATTCAGGGTTGTCAAAAATCCTCAATTGCGTACTTATTTTTTTTTTAATTTTATCACAATAATTTTTTAAGCAAAAATCTAAAATATATTAAACAAAAATACTCTCGTTTAAAAAATAAAATCAAATTGGTGCAATAACAAGCTTAAAACAATAATAATATAGATAAAAAGCTTGTCACAAGCTAAGTCACAATCATTTTATCAAGTATTCGTTTTTTATTAGTGATCATCATTTTATTACTACTCGTAATGAGTAATAAATTTATTACGGGTCATAATAAAATGACGTCAGGTCATAATTATTGTAATCAATCAAAATATTGTTTTCCCACAATAGCAAAAAAATTATAATCATTAAAAATGATGCTATTTTTGGGGTGCAATTTAATATCAATACACTAAATTGAACTTATGAAAAATACTTAGTAGGAATAATATTATTAATGCCCGACAACGCGGTAAAAATAACATAGATTTCTCAATTACTTTCCTTAACTTTTAATAAAGATGAATTGATTGACGACTCATTTGGTAAAATCGGTCTAATGGGCTGCTACGGTGAAACATTGATACAAACATACATACATATACATAGAATGTCAAGTGCAGAACAGTTTGTTTAAATAGTTGTAATCGGTTAAAAATATAAGTTGAAAGTGACAACCCTTGGTTGTAACAAAACATGGCAAAGTAACTGTCACATCGTGGCATCACTAATATGGTAACATCGCCAAGTTAATTTTATAAATAAATGTTAAGACCAACATGTTAAAAACGATATATTACATTTGATAACCCTTAATATTACGTTACTACAAAGATAATATAGATACCTATATTCAGTATTTAAAACAATATAAACTAAATTTCTGGAGCACTGAACAAAGGTTATTTCGCCGACACAATAAAATGCCAAAATTAACTCTAATGTTGCCATATTGAAAGCAATGCTGTCAATTAGTTATGTATTTTCATCCAAAACATGGCTTATCTCGAAAAACGTTACGTTTTCCGTGTTAATCGTAATTTTGTACCAGTACACCCCTGATGGCAAAGTTAACTTCCATTGGTAAAGTTACCAGACTTGACTGTAACAATCTAATCTAAGCTTACTAAACAACTACAAAGTTATTTAACAGAATATTACAATACGTAACACCAACTTAATAAATAAAAAATGAAATCATTCTATGGTAATATAGTACAAAATACAAGGACATAATCATAATGAAACATAAAATATTTTTAAAGATTTATCTAATAGACAGAATTAAAGAAAGGTAATGTATGAATTGTAACCAATAATGGATAGGCTGTTCACTTTAAAGTCATTTGAGATTATTTTAAAATAACCATCACATGCAATGACTTAGGCACTTGGGAGTGAAATTTAAATGGATAGTTTAACTACATTGGTGTTCAAGTTACTTAAAAAGTAAGCAATCTACAACATATGGGTTCAGCCTCACCCGGGCTGTTCCTGGTCAGAGTCAGCATTTTCATCGCCCTCCTCGTCTTCGTGCCCACCTGTAAGCGGATATAACATATTTAATGTTATATAGGTCTTATAATTAATTACAAAAAGAAGTTAAAACCAATACGCTGAAGAGTCAGCATTGTAGTCATATAACACGTAACATAAATAACGCACATCCTGAAAGTAGTTTGTTCAGAATCGTTTACTGGATCGATTTCTATCATTTTTAATATAGGTATTTAACTGCCTCGTTGGTCTAGTGGTTGTAGTAGTGCGACTGCTGATCATGAGGTCCCGGGTTCGAATCCCGGGTAGGGCCAAAAATCAGTTATTGAGTTTTTCCATCAAGAAATTCTCAGTATCTGCCCGGAGTCAGGTGGTTGGTGTTTCACCCCAGTGCCTCGGAAAGCACGTAGCCGTTGGTCCTGCGCCTGATCTCTCTCCGGTCGTGTCGGTTTACCGTCCCATCGGGCTATGAGAGTGAGGGAATAGAGAATGCACCTGTGCTTGCGCATACACTTTGGGCACTATAATCCTGTCCTGCGCCGATGACTAGTCTCCGTTGAGACTGGCCGCCGTGGTCGAAATTCGGTCTGGCGGACATTATTATTATTATAGTATAGGTAATTTTTTATCCCAAAAATAATTGAAACTACGTAATTTACAGTCACACTAAACCTGTACAGTCAAAACAAACTGAAATGGACCGTAACTCAAGGCAATAAGAGAGTAAGGCAATAAGAAAGTGCAGTTTTATTTGTATTAATAAAAATTCCGTCATTCAATACAAAATAAAGAAAATTGAACCTTATTTCAAGTATGTTAAAGTCTTTACAAATCAGAGTTTGGAGTGCCTTATAAAGGTCGCGGCGACCAGGCCATTTACCTCCCAGATCAGCTGATTTGACGCCTCTTGACTTTTTTTATGGGGACGTATTAAATCATTACTTTATTTTAGTGAGACAACAAGTGCTGAGGACCTAAAAATAGGATAGTGAACGCTTTTAGAATAGTGAAAAATGACACTGAATTGTTTTCTAAATTATTTTCTTTCTTTTTCTTTCTTTTTTAAAACGTAACCTCTACACTAGGATTTTCTCTTGTATTGTGGTGGCAGTTTACAAACATACTCGTAAATTGCACATGGACAAACATCCAGACCCGGAACAATTATTTTTAGGCCATACAAATACTTGTTCCGTGCGGGATCCGAACCCGCGGCCCGCGCTGCAACTCAATTGCTAAGCCACTGTGCCACGGAGCCGTGGTGGACATTTTGAAAGTGTGTTAAAATACTACGTTGCATGAGAGTTTAGACTATCAATAAGTTAAATATTTGATCCTTAAAATTATTGTAATCTTGATTCACATCTTTTTAACACACCGTCTTTGAATTATTGTCGTATTGCCTCTTATTTTTAGCAGTTCATTATTATTTACAATTAGAATTAAAATGTTATGCAATTTCATAACGTTTTGTAACGAATATTGCCTATTGACACTGTATTATAATCAATAAACAAAATTATTCAGTATCGAAAGTCCAAAGCCTGAAAAGTGTGATGGAAAGATGCAATGTAATATTTACTACACTTAAATAAACAACTCAATGCACGGAGTTCTGACATCTGTTAATGTTCATAAGTAGGTATTTCTTTAACGTAACCAATCATGTATTGTCGGCTTTTTTCGGCACTAATACCTACTTACAGTTGTATCAAGCGGCGGCGGCGTTAACTCGTCTCGAACGCGAGCGAATACCTACTAGGCTAGCACGACATATACCTAGCGTTCGTGGATTTGTACGGTGACCACAACATTCTTCCGGAATTAGTAGAACTAATTTAATAAATAATCAATGCATAAACATGTTTAACTAAGAATTCAGTGTATGTATGTATTATGATTATAACATAAAATACTAATTGGGGTGTCTGAGGATGTGCGTTAATTACGTTAGATGTTGTATACCATGTGTCCGGTTACCGGTGTCGGAGCTTTTAATGCTATAAAATATAATCAATTTCATCGACAAATCATGTCTCAAATCTCATTTAGACTTAGCTGTATTTAAATGGCAGCCATTTAAATTTTTCAGTGTCACCACCTCGACCCCGCGCATTAAAATTACAATATTCACCGATGTAGAAGTCCTACATTTTTAAAAGATGTCTCATTGGGTAGATAAAGATACGCGTAATAAAATAAAAGCAAACTTTTAACTGCAAAATTGTATTTAGATCCTAAAAAGATTAAGAAAAGAAAAAAAATGTAAAAAAAATTCGGTTATTTTTTCACTTTTTCGACTTTAATGAAAAAAGTAGGTCATTTACCTATCAATTTTGTACATTTATTAGATAGAGCAAGATATTTCCTTAACATAAACGTTAAAATCTTAATTGTAAATTAAATAGTTTAAGAATTGTACTTTATCAAACACGACCTCTTAAAAGCGCAAGCTGCACGTGCAGGATCATTTATGATAGTTCAAGAGCAGGTAGAAAAACCCAAACCCCATTGTTTGATGTTCTAAACAAGTGTACTTGGGACAACAAAAACAGTCGTCCCTCGCCATGCGTTGTGATTACACTACTTTCGCCCCTCTAAGATCGCTTGTTGTTGTTATTGTCCTAGGTGATGGTAATTGTAATTAGAGAGATTCCACGTGGCCACATTGAGGCCCGACCTACGTTTGCTCGGGAAGTCTTCTGCTCATGGGCCCCAGAGGATTGGATCCTTTAAGGGAGCAGCCGTAGGTCGTAACAATCTGGTAGCAGAGCGCGGTTCCGGGTTCGATTCCCGGTCGATCCCGACCATAGTGTTGATAAACATTAAACAATTCTGGTGGCAGGGAGCGTTGGTTTGATTGGTTTAATTTGTACCTACAATCACGCCCGTCCGTAATACGTAAAAATATTTTTTGTACGTAATAATAGAATTATTTCCCTTTGTTGTTTGTTGCTTGCCTTTTTTTTGGTTAGTAGGTAGTTTGAAAAACCGCGCCCTAGGTTGCGCAAGCGGGAGTTTTTCTAGAGATATACGTCATGTAGGTAGATGGTTATTTTTACGTAATCAGTTAATTATCGTTGTCGGACTGTTGTAGTGGATTACTTATCGAAGGGTCGATTTCCGAGCTAGGCATTTTTTGTTGACCGACCGTGATGTGTATCTTCGTTTATACTGTAATTTGTATTTGAACTAAAGAGTAGTAATTGTATTTGCGCAATTTGAATTTAACTTGATTTGATCGCACTAGTATTTGTTATTTGTTAATTTGATTTCTGTCTTTTCTTTTGTGCTAACTTGTATTTGGTTGATACGTAGTAATTCGTATTTGTGTAATTTCTATTCAACGCGATTTGATAGGAATTGCATTTATTAACTGTTAATTTTTGTTGTATTTTTTGTTTGTTATCTTGTAATCTGTGCTCAAGCCGCGTCGTAATTTGCATTTAATAGTGATGACATCGCCCAAGCTACTGATCCGTTGTTTGCGGACTGAGCTACGCTGGGCCACAAGCGCCCATGCTTTGATAGGTCGACCGGATAGGGTCCATAACTTGATGAAGCAGTTCGAGCAGGTGGATGCTCGAAGGGCCGCAGTGGAGGAGGCTTACGCTGAGCTCGAGGATTCGGATGTGGAGAAGGAAGTCCTGGACTCCTGCTTCACGGACTATGAGCAGTTCTTGTGGACGGACGAGTTGATCGAGGCTGAAGGCAGGTATGCCGAGGAGGCGCGTGAAACTCGGATCCTAGTGACCTGTCCGAGTCCTCTCTGAAGCAGCTTCAGCCGGAGCTGTTGGGACGACTCCCAACTCTGGACCTGCCAAAGTTCTCCGGGGTCCTTTCCGAATGGCTGACCTTCGTTGGTCTTTTCGACAGCCTAGTGGACGCCCGGAGTGACTTGACCCCGAGCCAAAAGATGGTGTACCTCCTGGCCTCACTGGAGGGGGAGGCCCTGGGCGTCGTCGGCCACTTGAGATTTTCGGACGACGCCTACCAGACTGCTCGGGACCTCCTAGCCAGAAGATACGCCAACGTCCGGCGAATTGCGGACGAACATGTTAAGCAGCTTCTAAGCCTCCCGCTGCTTAGTGACCGGGCCAGACTGCGTCCGGACCTGTTGGATCCAGTCTTGGTGGCCTGTAATACGTTGAGGCGGCTGGGTTTACCAGTGGGCGAATGGGCTTTTTTGTTGCTCCGCATCGTGCTGTCCCGTCTACCTCTCGACCTTCGAATCCATTTTGAGGAGAGGTACGGCGGGAACGAGGCCTCCTATATTCCGCCCTTCTATGACCTGCTGCGGTTTTTGGAGGAGCAGTGCCGGCAGATAGAGAGCGCGGTGGGCACCGTTGACGACTTACGAGCCGTGCCCAGTGAGAGGCTGAATCCTCCAGGCAAGTCGTCGTCAACCCCCCTGCTCCTATTGTCAAGCATCTGATCATCGGGTAACGTCGTGCCCGAAATTATTAGGTAAGCCGGTTCCAGTGAGGCGAACTATCGCCAAGGATCGCCGCTGGTGCTGCTCATGTTTGGGAGGACACCTCCAGCGAGACTGTCCGCATCGGCGGCCCTGTCTGCATTGCCAGGGCAATCATCATGCCGTTTTGTGCCTGAGTGCGAACGACGTCTCCTCTCGGGGCTCTGCCAGGCCCTCGAACCCCACGGGCGGGGGCGCTCAGCCACGCCCTCTGCCGGGCGACTCTCGGCGCCCGCCGGCCAGCCATCAGGCCCCTAAGTTTGAAAGGGGTCCCTCCCCCGACCAGTCGGGGGGTGATTCCCCCAGGGGCGGGGGTGTCATCACCCCCCCTAAGCGTGTGGAGAGGAACTTCACGGCCACTCATCGGTCCGCCGGACCCTTCTCACTCCCGTTAGCTGAGTGGCCGCGACTGGTGTACGTACCACTGTTCCCCATTTGATGGAGGCGGCCCTGGCTAGCTGCCGCCTTAGCTCCCACCACGGCCACCTCCACTGAGCCTTAAGCCGTCAACAGTCCACTTGTCAAAATGTTCTGTTGCCGACGGCCTCAGTGAAGGCGTACAACCCGAGTGGCGACTGTTAGCGATCTCGGGTTCACGCCATGTGGCCTCCCCTTGGTGGTGGGAAGATTAGGGCCCCTCTGGAGCGTTGAATCACGCTGTCAAGGGGTATTAGATTTGGTTTGGTCGAGCACTTAGTCAAAAAATACTTGAATTAAAATTAAAAATTGCTTTGGGCTTTCCGCGAAATTTTCCTATTTGTAGCGGTTTAAATTAAAAGAATTGAATTTAATCTACTCCTTTAAATGCTACTGCATGTGTTTTGTACATATATTTAATCACTGTATTTGATTGTTGCGTCTGTTTGCTGAAAGGAAATTGAATGGCGCGCTATTTGAAAAATTATGTATATGTTTATGATAGTGTTTAATCATTTTGCTTTGCGAAGAAGTAGGGCTGTCCCTTACGTTATTGTTTTGTTTAATTTGCAAGTTGACCTATGCGCATCGGTGATTAATTTGGTGGAATTGATTCTGTAGTTGAACATTGATGCTTTTGAAAAATTAGTTGAAATATGAGCATAGGACTACTTGTCTAACAGGCTAGCTAGTTTTGGAGATTATCAGATTGAAATCAGCTGCCGCACTATTTTAGTAAATGATAATATGGTGGGTGGCCTGGCTAGGCCTACTTGTTGAAAATTCATACTAGGAACTATCTGTGCGTTTCGTTCGGCTCTCCACAGACGACGTTCATGTAGAATTTGTGGGTGCGCTCTGCACTGAAGCAACTGCTGGCACAAAATTTGTCTGGGCAGCTTCGTGTAGCGTCACTGTTTGCAGAGCTGATCCGGTCGGATTGCGGAACTAATCATAGGGGCACAGATAGATGTTTGAAAGAGGTCGTCGGACTTCTATCCAGTACAGGACTTATTAAAGTGCTGCGATGCCCAGGAGGGGCATCCAGTGGAGGCTGACCCTCCGGCTTGCCACATTAGGGCTATCTTTTGAGGCGTTGGTTAGGGTTGCAAGATCTGATGGGTTGCCTAAGGTGGCCTAGTTTGGTTGTAGATTCGGTCTTGTAACTTGCCGTCGCGACCTTGTCCCGCTGCCCGGTTTGCTCGCGGACCTAAATCCTTATGTCCGGGACGGGGGTTTGTTCGCGCTAAACGCTAATTTCAGGAACGAACGCGAGAGGGCGCGCGGCTCAGTGTCATACCGGTTTGACATTCGGTCGTGCGTAAAACGCCCAAGGGCAGTCAGTCGTCCTTAGGCAGTGCTCACGATTGGCACGCTGCCAATTAAGCGCGGGAACTCGGAATAATTAAGCACGGACAGTAAAAATACGGTCTAGGAATTTTGTGTCGCGTATCCCTACTGGAGAGCTTCCCCGGGACTTATTGGGTCCGACTCAGAATCTGTATAAGTGCATTTGACAAAATTAGCTAGTGTGGCCTCTGTATTCTAGAACTAACTGTTGCAACGCGAAACGGTAGTGACCTTTGATCCAGAAACTCCGTGCGTGTTTTGTGTGGTAACCTTATACCCCGCGATAGTTAGTAAGCTTCTGTAAGCTAGTTAATCGTACGATAGAGTTAAGTGACTGTTATCGTGACGAACAAGGAAAGTGAATGTGGACAAAGCCTCGGAAGGCCCCCTCAAGTTGGAGCGGTGTCGACGCCCGGGCTGCTGCCGACGGCTAAGGTCTAGGTTCAATCACCATCAGTCACACCCAGATACACACCACATCACCATTCTTTCCCTTGCACTACACAACTACATGCGACCTGACCGACTCCGGAGGGACCAGTCGCCTTGGATATAGGTAAGTAAGCTTCGTCCAAATTCCTTCCGGTCGACTGGCCGTAGTATAACGCTCCCCCATATATTTAAGTGTAATTAGAGAGATTCCACGTGGCCACATTGAGGCCCGACCTACGTTTGCTCGGGAAGTCTTCTGCTCATGGGCCCCAGAGGATTGGATCCTTTAAGGGAGCAGCCGTAGGTCGTAACAGTTATAATACTGATTTTTTTTTTGGTTACAATTAAGATTTTTATGTTTTTGGTTAGGAAATGTTCTGATCTATCTGATTAATGTAAAAAATCATTAGGTAAATGACTTACTTTTTTCATTAAAGTCGAAAATGTGAAAAAATAACCGGGTTTTTTTTAATTTTTTTTTCTTTTCTTGTCTTTTTAGGATCTAAATACAATTTTGCAGTTAAAAGTTTGCTTTTATTTTATTACGCGTATCTTTATCTACCCAATGAGACATCTTTTAAGAATGTAGGACTTCTACATCGGTGAATATTGTAATTTTAATGCGCGTGGTCGAGGTGGTGACACTGAAAAATTTAAATGGCTGCCATTTAAATACAGCTAGGTCTAAATGAGATTTGAGACATGATTTGTCGATGAAATTGATTATATTTTACAGCATTAAAAGCTCCGACACCGGTAACCGGACACATGGTATATCCCAATGTTATTTTGATCAATGAATAAAACCTTAATTCCACCACAAATCTTAATTCTTCCACATAAATATAAAATATAAGGTGTACTTGTATTACAAGCGCTTTATTTATGGTGTCCTCATAATTTTTTTATTTGTACATAAAAATATACACGTCGTTTTGTGTGATTGTAGGTGTGTGTTTGTAGGTGTATGTTTAGGTGCGTATTTATAAGTATTTAATAGTGTACATTAGTGAGTGACGACTTCGTTAGTCCAGTGGTCGTAAACGCGATTGCTGATAATGAGATCCCAGTTTTGAAACTCGGGGCGGGCCAAAAGCAGTTATTGGGTTTTGTGTCGAGAAATTCTCAGTAGCAGGAAAACCGTTGGTCCTGCAGCTGACTTCTCTTCGGTAGTGTCAGATTGCCGTCCTACCGGACTATGCATGCGCATACACCCAGGCACTATAATGCTGTTCTACGGCTTATCGGCTAGATGACTATTCTCCAACGAGATTGATCGCTGTAACCGATATTGGGTCTTTACGACATTTATATTAGTAGGTATTTACACAGCGAACTGCGTACGTCTACATGTGTAGGTACGTGTGCGTGTGTACGTACGTGTGCGTGTAGGTACATGTGCTTGTGTAGGTACTAGTGCGTGTGTAGGTACATGTGCTTGTGTAGGTACGTGAGCGTTTGTAGGTACGTGTGCTAGTGTAGGTACGTGTGCGTGTGTAGGTACGTGTGCGTAGTAGGTACGTGTGCGTGTGTAGGTACGTGTGCTTGTATAATTACGTGTGCGTGTGTAGGTACGTGTGCGTGTGTAGGTACGTGTGCGTGTGTAGGTACGTGTGCGTGTGTAGGTACGTGTGCGTGTGTAGGTACGTGTGCTTATGTAAGTACGTGTGCGTGTGTAGGTACGTGTGCTTGTGTAAGTACGTGTGCGTGTGTAGGTACGTGTGCGTGTGTAGGTACGTGTGCTTGTGTAAGTACGTGTGCGTGTGTAGGTACGTGTGCGTGTGTACATACGTGCGCGGCGCGTGTAGTGGCGGCGGGCGGGCGGCGGGCGCTCGTCGGGCGCGTCGGCCAGCAGCGAGCTGCGGTACGTCTGCAGCGCACCCCACTCCTCGCGCCACGTCATGCCAGCCTGCAGCCGCGACTCCAGGAACTGTGCCCAACGAAAAACAAAACCATAATGCCGAATTCAACGTGGTAGAACCATGCTGCAGCTATATTATGGTTATATACCGAAGCTCCGGCTTGATCGGAGTAGAACCACGCTCTAACAAAATACCAGCGTAAATAGCAGCTTAATGCTGCTGTATATATATATATATATAGAGTGCAACGGTACGCACCCGTAGCACGTGGCGCTTGTCCTGGCGCAGCAGCTTGTTGGAGAACTCGGCCAGCGGCTCGAGGAAAAGCAGGTTAGGCGGTGGCGCGCCTGCAGCGGCCGCAGCGCTGGACTCCAGCGCCGCGAAGGCGATGCCGGCGCGGTGCAGCGCTGTCAGTGCCTCGCGGTTCTTCACTGCATCCAGCCCGAACATAACCGAGAACCGCTTCGCCAGCTCCTGCGCACATCACATGTACTTCGCATGCTTAACAAAACTTCTTTATACTGATTTTATTTAAAGATCAATTGGTTTCGCTAAAACTCAAAAATGGCTCGACTGAATTTGATAATTTTTTTGTGTGTTTGAGTGGGTCCCTGGATGGTTTAAATTCACAATTGGACCCAGTAGGTGACGCTGTTGTCGAGATCCTGAAATCACCCGTGCGAAACCGAGGCGGATCGCTAGTCGCATATTACATATTACGTGGTGCCACGCTACAACTATATTATAGTTTGTTTTGTTTTCTTTTATTATTATTTTTTTTTTATTAAAAATACGCCTGCATGGCCAGCTGCATGCTGAGCGCGCAGCTTCACGTGGCGAGTGTAAGGCTGCAGAGTACCTTGAGCTCCAGGAACTCGGGCTGCGAGCGCTGCGCGGCGCCGTGCAGCTGCTGCAGCTAGGTGAACAGCGCCTGCATGACCAGCTGCATGCTGAGCGCGCAGCTTCACGTGGCGAGTGTAAGGCTGCAGAGTACCTTGAGCTCCAGGAACTCGGGCTGCGAGCGCTGCGCGGCGCCGTGCAGCTGCTGCAGCTCGGTGAACAGCGCCTGCATGGCCAGCTGCATGCTGAGCGCGCAGCTTCACGTGGCGAGTGTAAGGCTGCAGAGTACCTTGAGCTCCAGGAACTCGGGCTGCGAGCGCTGCGCGGCGCCGTGCAGCTGCTGCAGCTCGGTGAACAGCGCCTGCATGGCCAGCTGCATGCTGAGCGCGCAGCTTCACGTGGCGAGTGTAAGGCTGCAGAGTACCTTGAGCTCCAGGAACTCGGGCTGCGAGCGCTGCGCGGCGCCGTGCAGCTGCTGCAGCTCGGTGAACAGCGCCTGCATGGCCAGCTGCATGCTGAGCGCGCAGCTTCACGTGGCGAGTGTAAGGCTGCAGAGTACCTTGAGCTCCAGGAACTCGGGCTGCGAGCGCTGCGCGGCGCCGTGCAGCTGCTGCAGCTCGGTGAACAGCGCCTGCATGACCAGCTGCATGCTGAGCGCGCAGCTTCACGTGGCGAGTGTAAGGCTGCAGAGTACCTTGAGCTCCAGGAACTCGGGCTGCGAGCGCTGCGCGGCGCCGTGCAGCTGCTGCAGCTCGGTGAACAGCGCCTGCATGACCAGCTGCATGCTGAGCGCGCAGCTTCACGTGGCGAGTGTAAGGCTGCAGAGTACCTTGAGCTCCAGGAACTCGGGCTGCGAGCGCTGCGCGGCGCCGTGCAGCTGCTGCAGCTCGGTGAACAGCGCCTGCATGGCCAGCTGCATGCTGAGCGCGCAGCTCAGCTTGTTGATCTCGCGCGCCTTGCTCAGCGTCGCCTTGATGATGTCGCCGTAGTCGTTGTAGCACTGCCACACACACACCGTACCGTTACTACCTATTTAAGTCCGTTGCTGAACATAGGCCTCCCCAATATATTACCAAGCGGGTTGGCAACCGCAGTTTTTTTTTTTTTTTTAGTCGTTATTGGTCAGGAAAGTCAGTTCTAAATTACAACTTCACAAGTCGCAACATGTCTAACCGTTACCGCTCGTAGTGTCAACTGAAATAATTCATAATCTGATTCCGGTGTGTATGTGCTTGCTTGTTCAAATGTATAGAAAAACGCGCGTTATGAAATAATAATCTTAAATATTCCGATCCGGAATTCAGAACGCTCATGAGTGTCATTCCTACAGATCGATCTAAGAAAATCATAGTCTGAAAAATCTGAATTTGTGTGGAGCATAGTTAAATTGTATGCAATTCTGGGCTTTCTTAACTAATAATATGAATTTAGATTATGAATTCAGAGAACCATTCCGGATGTTTGGGATCAGCCTTAGAATAACAATACCAGTATTAGCTACTTTTACCACGTTTGTATTGGAAAAACGCAAACAAAGGTATGCGAGAGTAAAACAAAGAGTAAAATTATTCGAGGGTTAGGTACGCCATGTGCTGTGACATGGTATTTGATCGAATCCACCCTTAATACCATATTTTTATTACGTATTCTCTAATATAATGTTGTCCTGTCACGGTTCTTTGAACAATGTAAGTGTGGCTTTGTAGAATATTTTTTTAGAGACGATAGCAGGAGACCCGACGGTATGACTTTGGATGTTTGGGAGAGAGCTAAACTTTAGTGTGGAATACTACTTGGGAAGACACTTTGGAAACCTTTCATCTCAGGGGTACATCATTTACAGCAGGGGCAGCATCAGAGGCAACAGAACTATAATAGAGTTTAAGCTTTATGGTGAGGTGACCGGCTTAAAAATATCGACTAAAGTGAATGAATCGATACGGACTTCATTGTTGTGACTGTTGTTCTTGTTTACTAATCGTTAAGCAATCGGAGTCCAATTTATAGCCAGGTAAACGTCAGAGTAAGATCATCATCATCATCATTACAGCCTTTCATAAGTCCACTGCTGAACATAGGCCTCTCCTAAGGAATGCCACAAAGCACGGTCCTGAGCCACCTGTATCCATCGACTTCCTGCATGTCTTACCAGGTCGTCACTCCATCTCGTGGAGGGTCGCCCTACACTTCGCCTACCGGTACGAGGCTGCCACTCAAGAACCTTTCTTCCCCATCGGTTTTCGGTTCTTCGAGCTATATGGCCGGCCCACTGCCACTTCAGCTTACTAATCCGTTGGGCTATGTCGATTACTCTGGTTCTACTGCGGATATACTCATTTCTAAGTTTATCACGCAGAGAAACCCCGAGCATAGCCCTCTCCATAGCTCGCTGAGCGACCTTGAGCTTCCTTATACGGCCAGCAGTGAAGGACCACGTCTCAGATCCGTAAGTCATCACTGGCAACACGCACTGGTTGTACAATTTCGTTTTAAGGTTTGAGGTATGTCTGACGAGAAGATGTGTCGTAGTTTCCCGAACGCTGCCCAGCCGAGTTGAATCCGTCGATTGACCTCTCGGTCGAAGTTGGACTTACCTAGTCAGACTATTTGACCCAGGTAAACATACTCGTCAACAACTTCGAGCTTAGTGCTCCCAACAACTACCGGCATAGGTGTGACATGGACATTAAACATAATCTTTGTTTTGTCCATGTTCATCTTAAGACCATCCGTTGGGAGACACTATTGAGGTCATTGAGCATAATGTTTAGGCCCTCCAGCGATTCTGCCATAAGGACTATTTCGTCGGCAAATCGAAGGTGAGTGATGTACTCGCCTTTGATGTTAATACCGTATCCTTTCCAGTCCAGAAGCTTGAAAACGTCTTCCAATGCAGCGGTGAAGAGTTTCGGGGATATAACGTCACCCTGTCTTACACCTCTCTGAAATTGGATAGGTTTCGTACTCTGGTTCTGTTCTCGGATAGTCATCGTAGCCCTACTGTACAAGCACTGCAGCACTTCGATATACCGACAGTCAACTTGGCACCGCTGAAGGGACTGCAGCACCGCGCAAATTTCGACGGAATCAAAGGCTTTCTCATAGTCCACATACGCCGGCATAGTGGCAAATTGTACTCCTCGGACTTCTGTAAACTTGCCGAAGGGTATGTATGTCGTCTATGGTGCTAAATCATCATCATTTGAGGCCTTACAGCCGGGGGTGGGACTTAGCCTGGTTCAGCAAATGGTGCTAAAGCCCTTTCCGAAACCGGTTTGTTCGGGACGTAATGACTCTCGAAAACAGCACGTAGACGCGGCTCAGAAGGGAAATCGGTCTGTAGTTCTTCAAGAGAGCATTGTCACCTTTCTTGAAGAACAAGGCCACCGCACTTCTGCTCCACGCCTCCGGAGTAGTGCCACCATGGAGGACGGACTTAAAGAGCTTCTGAAGGACTTCAAGTGCCGGTTTTCCACCCGCTTTCAAAAGCTCCGCTGTAATTCCATCCTCATCTGGGCCCTGTCGTTTTTAAGGTGCTGGAGAGCCATTCTAATCTCGCTCAGACTGACGTCCGGGATATCTTCGGAATAGTGTCGGATAAGACTCGCTCTTGGATCGTTACTCACACTTGCGTGTGGCTCCAACCATGACGTGTACAGCTGTCCATAGAACCTCACAATCTCACTCAAAATCTCGGGTGCCCCGGAGACGATGCTGCCACACTCAGTCTTCAGCTTTGACAGTTGGCTCTTTCTGGCAGACAGATCTCTGGCAAAGACTTTGGAGCCTTGATTCCGCTCGATCGCTTCTTCAATACAAGCTGCATTGAAGTTGCGTAAGTCCCGCCGCATGCATTTGGAGATCTGTCTGTTCAGTTGCCTGTATGCTGTCAAATCTGTTGAAGAATGTAGCTTCATCTCCCGTGTAACAGCCATGAGACTAAGAGTGTAATCGGAGAGTTTTTGTGTTCTTCTGCGGCGGGTCTTGCAGAACTTAGCTTCGACCGCATAGACAGTTTCCACGAGCTTGTCATTCATATCGTCCACATCACTGCAGTCTTCTAGGCACTGAAAACGGTTTTGTAACTCGACCTGAAATGTTTCAGGACATTGGAACAGAGCACGAGGGGGACGGAGCGTTGACTTCATTAGACGAGACCTCTCCAACTTAACGTTTCGGTTCAGTGTGCCTCTAACCATTCGGTGAGCGCTACCAGTTTTCACCCTCGCGATCACGGAGACATCACTGAACAGTTGTCTTTTGGTCGTCATATGAAGTCAATCTCATTTTTTGTCGAACCGTCGGGGCTCGACCAGGTCCACTTCCTGTGGGGCCGCTTCTGGAAGAAAGAGTTCATCATAAAGAGTCCCTCTTTCTCCATGAAGTCGGCCAGCTGCTGGCCCCTTGGGTTCCGTTGCCCTATTCCAAATTTCCCTACTTTCAGCTCACCGTTTTCTCTTGTGCCTAGTTTTGCATTGAAGTCTCCCATTAACACCGTATATTGGGTTTTGGAGGAATGCATGGCTCTAGAGATATCATCATACATTTCCTCCACCTCCTCATCGGGGTGTGCCGAGGTTGGTGCGTAAACCTGTAGGACCTTCAGCGAATACCGTTTGGTGATTCTGAGTATAAGGTGCGCAACCCTCGTCGACACACTCCCGATCTTTACAACGTTGTTAACGAGAGGCTTGTGGACGATAAATCCGACACCTCCTTGGGACAGATGGTCGCCCTACCGGTGATAGAGCAAGTTGCCGGATTCGAGGATTACCGTGTCCTCACCCTCTCTTCGGACTTCGGATAATCCTATAATATGCCAGCGTAACTTGTCTATCTCTTCTTCCAGCTCCACTATCTTCTCGTCAGTCCTCAGGGTGCGTGCGTTTTACGTTGCCAGGTCGAGTCGTCTAAGGTGGCAACCGAACCTCCACCGGAGATTCTTAGCACCCCCTGCCCCGCCGTTACCATGGTCGCCACCGTAGCCAGGAATAGCGGGGCCGCCGGGGACTGGGGGCCGTCTCCTTGTTACTCTCTTCATAGGGGATTGGCAACCGTAGTTTTTTTATTGTAATTTTGGCTATTATCAGGAAGATGCCGCTGCCCACCTTCTGCCTGTTTCCCTTTGTCACCTTTTACGACACCCACGGGAAGATATGGGGTAGTGGATATTCTTGATCGCCACTACACGGCAAGAGTAAGTTCAGTCCAATAAAAAGCCAGGTCAGAAGAAAATAACACAGATCACACCATAAACTCACAGTCACTTCACACAACGACAAAAGACTGCGTCATGTAATGGCGACATGACATATCATCATTGACAGGCACAAGTGTAGCCAGGAACATCCCACGAGTTTTTGAACAAAAATTGTACCTAACTTCAATGATTTTTTATTTAGTTATTTTTGTAGTTATGTTTGTAGTTTGTTAATTAAAAGAATAATATGTTTTATTAGGATCACAATATGGTTATTCATTTATGTTGAAATATTCCTTCACAATTACATACATAATCACTTCATTCGAATCTACTTATCAAGTTTCGATTTTTTTGGTAACATCCTAGTGTTTAAAAAGAAAAAGGGTTCACTGACGCAACGTTGTAACGACTTTCAGTTCTCTTTAGAACAAAAATTGTTTATTATGTTTAAATGGTCTATTACTGAAAGTAAATCGTGAACTTACCTTCTTTTGTCATTATTACAATAAATATGTAATCTTAATTGAAAAAAGTTAAGCAATTGTGCAGTTCTAACTTCGAAAACATTAATAATATTTTATGGCCGCCGTTACAAGGTTACGTTGTTGAATTTTGAAGAAGTGTCAAATGTGATCTATTAAATTGGCCCTACTATAAGTAAGTAGTCCAAGGATGACGATGATGAGAACTATAGGCGACTGCTGATTGTCGCTGCTGGTGATAAGAGGAGTTCTTATTTCAAAGGCAGTCTCGTTCTTGGCGCTATACCGCGGAGAGTAGGACTGTATGATAATTTCAGTTTTTTTTTTTTATTATTATAGTTTCTTAATATTGTAATTTGACATTAAAACAAAAAAAAATAAAAAAAATTAAAATATGTAATCAAATAGGTATCCAAACTCAACATAATGGCAGCGCTGGTTTTGAGTTGGAGCCTTATGACTTTACTAACAAGTCTGTGTGATCCTTCAATTACAAGTTACTACGAGTTACAGCTTGTTACGGTTGTGCTCTTTAATTGTTAATGCGTAAGCAGTCTTCGACGGGTGGATGCATATTTTTGCCTCTTGCCTTGTATACAGGGGTTATTTTTCAAAGAGTAGTCATATTTTACATTTACGTTCAAATAAATAAATTATTATATATTTTTTGAAAATAGGAGTAAATAAGGCTCCTACTTTTATTTAAAATTATCACAAATTGAATTTAATTTATGGGCAACAACTACGCTTACGTGCGCTCCTGCATGTATGATTCAATTCACGTATTCGTTTCTCAAGTTTTTGCTTACTGTTTACTTTCTTAGTGACGTGCTTACTAGTAATGCTTATGCACATGACGCGAATAATGATCACAATTTTCCCTTCACTCGTTGACGGGCTTAGAATCGTCATAATAAATAAAATTAAAAATTATATTTTTGCTTATCAACGACGTAACCGACGGCTGTCATTATTATGGCGTATTTATAAATTGGAATAAATTATTTACAAACATTTACAATTACTAAACAATTAAACAAACAATATCTAATATTGGAACATGAAAATGGAAGCAGTTTCCCTAGTAGGAATGTAAATAACGAACACACCACATATTCAATAACCGTTTATTCACACCTTAGATTTAAAGTAGCGGATCGGAGCGCGAACGAGCGGACTCACAGCGTCGAACGATCAGATCGCTTGACGAGGCAAGAAAAACCGAACTGGGTGCCCCCGCGCAGCCGAGGGCTTCCGAAGATTGCCGCACGGTTGTTCAGGCCGGGCCACATTTTTTATGCAGCACGTTTTCTTAAAATATTTTTTACACTTATTACCTGTTCTTGAGCACTTTTAACTTCCGTGAACGCAGCAATAACTTTACTGTGGCGGTCTTCATAACTTACATAAACTAACATAACTAACATAAACACAACTATTTATTTCACCCCACAGATAAAAAAAAACTAACGTTGAAAGTTCCGGCGAGTTTGCAGACCATAGTATAGGACCACCGTGCGCAATCCACCTATCTTTATATTCACTATTTACGTTATCACTCACTGCACTTGAATAGTTTGATTAACTGTCAATTGCTCTTCGATTGATAGGTACACGTATGTTAATTTCTTGCCGCGGTTAAGACTTACTTCCGTATAATCTTTGCGCACCACATAAACTTTCATTGCTTAAACTATAATATCGCACCATTTCATAGTACCGCAGTTCGAATATTTTCGTTCCGTCATTAGTGACAAAGCGTACGTAATGAGGTCACGATCAACACTGTCAGCTGTCGGCCGGGCGAGCGGACGTGTGTACTTAGCGGTGTAACGGCAAACGGAAGGGAAGGGCGTGCGAAGGACGCAACAAGGTACCTTACCGAGCGACCCTTACGAATGTGTACATGGGTAAAATAGTAGGTATTAGATATTTATGAATGACAATCAGAGATCTGTTATCGAATTTGGTAGAGAATGTCTCAAGGCATTAAGTCCGCCCTTTGTATTATTTTATATTAGGAATGCAATAAAGAATAAATAAATAAATAAAACATCAGTTAAAATAATGCATTACCATGCATTCTGAATTTAAAAGATAAAAAGGACAGAATATTTGAATTTTTTTTAAATTTTTAATTCACCGTTCGCCTATATTACTTACTCTGAATCTTCTCTGCAAATTTGGCCGTATATTGCAAAATAACCCTGTATATCATTGTTTAAAATGTATGTATAAAATAAATAGTTCCTTCTTCTTTTGAAAGCCAGAAAAATTGATGATTTTTTTTTCCAAAGATGGTGTGACACAAGAATACCTTAATATAATGTTTGAAGACATCAGCGGCCCGACGGATGGGCGCCACGTTGTATACGATGAGTTTGCAGTACGCGGCTAGGAAGTTGCGGCGTTTGTGCAATTCCTCGATACGTCTCTCATCTTGACCATCTGCAACGCGGAACTCGTAAATAATACGAAAAACTTAACGTACACCAACAACTGTCTACATAAACCTTGGAAATACATATCTGCAGAAATATGTATTATTTTCATTACATTTTAATATACAACAATACTCAAAGGTTACTCAATTTTCAGATGTCATTAAAACTCGTGGTATTACAGGCACTTTGATTTACAGTCATAGACAGCACGACACTTAACGGCATCTTAAAAATTGAGCAGTGTTTGAGTATTTGGGCATAAGTCTCCATAAGACTTTTTACGTTTTTTAACAAAATAAATTTATAGTTTTTAAGAAACTTAGATCAGTAAAAAGGAATTTCGTTGAATTAAATCAAGTCAATTCAGGTGTCTAAGCACAGACTTTTGATACTCATTAAGTGTATGTATTTTATTAATGCCCAAGGGTTACGAAGATCAGTTTTAATGGTCACTATATTTCACTCTCCAACTAAACAATCAAGCTTCTCCAAACGACAAGCTGAAACACCTCCGGACGACTCCATTTAATCACTGTCCGAGGTGATTCAGCTTTAACAGCTGCCATAATTAAATCATAATGATACATGCAACTCATCTAAAATATTTGATCTACAATTCACATGTACACTAAGCTCTGTTTGTTTTATTTTATATCGCGGCTAAATTAGTAGGACAGTGAAGATTGAAGAAACCCACCATGAAATTTAGTAAAGCAATGTGTAAATTTAGCTTTGTTAAAAACCAAGCTAAAGCCCCGTGTATACCACATGACAACCTCCACGACCAATTGAAACTTAGAAAAATTGATACACAACAATAACAGAAGAACGCAACTCAAAAGGATCGAATGCACTGCACAAAACCATGCTCAAAATTACAAAACTTCTGAAGGTATTAATAAAAATAAAACTGCGATCCGAGACCGCGAGCGAGTGTCTCTCTGTATATTGAGATCGCGATCCCTATCATCTTGTGGCGACGTGAGCGTATTAGGAGTCATACCACTCTAGCATAATAACATGAGACCTGAGCCCGATTACGTCACATCGGCGTACTAGTACAGTGTAAAAGTTTATTATGTATATATTAGGTCGTGCGGTAATCTAACGAGATTTACTTGGTGAGCCATGCTGCAGCTAGATTATGGTTGTAGCGGGAATGGTTTGGCTCTACCGGGGTAGGACCACGTTTTGACAGAATGAATACCAGCGTAAAACAACAAGTCAATGCTGCTGTGTTTCATATGGTGATTGTAGAGAACCGGAGTCCCTTTTTACTGTAAACGAGGCAATACATCTTGGTCCTCAGGGGTGACAATGCAACTGCTCTTTGATTCTTAATCGAGGATAAATATAGATGTCTATGGGCCACAGAATCATGTTGCTATCAAGTGGACTGAGTGCTCGTTTATCATCTTTATTCTATAAAAAAGGCGATAACAACGCAAAATTACGCTCGCCGTACAAACGACGCACGCGCAGAGGTGAGGCACACGAGTCTCATGTTATTGCGCACGCGTAATATCGGATCTTTAGTTGCGGGCACGGCTTCGGTTTCGGATCGCGTTTTCGTAGAGCGTTCGCGACAATTTTCCCTTAGTAATGTTAGGTGGTACAAGTCGCGGGGTGCGCGGACCGGGGTGCGCGAGTCGGAGACAAAAATATGCATTATTTGCGCGCGGCGGCAGTGACTGTGTGCGTTCGCGTGGCATTACTAAGGCAAAATCCGGCGTCGCTGATGTGAGCGTGCAGGTGCTTACCGTAGGGGACGCCGCCGCCGCCGCGCGCACCAGACATGCAACCAAACACACCACCGTTACAGCGGCCCCCACTAACGACACAACGCTCACACGAGTCTTTCCGACCACAGGGGGGAATAATGCATATTTTTTTCTCGGAGCCACCGTTCGAGAGCCGACCGACGGCACGGTGACGGTAACTTGACGGCGCGTCGTTGGCGAGCCGGGTTGATTCAAATGAAATCATTATTTACAATTTTTTTTATTGTGAACCCCAAACATAAAAGTCACCAGATACCCTAAATCTACACACAGACACGTCAAGCCCCAATTTAGAAAATAACAACTTTTTTTTTAAATATTTTTTTACCGTTTTAAGCCAGCGCTTAACAAAACTTGGTATGGTACCCGAGTCAACCCCTTCACAGACAACAAACAATGACAGCAATTATGAAATTAACGGGTTATGTTCGTTTAATTACGCTACTTTAACAAAATAGATCAATTTGAAATTAAACTGGGTCATAAAGGTTCTAGCGGCCAAATAAAGCAAAAGGTTGGACAAAACTTATCAACATGTATACGTAAACTACAGTTGGTAAATAGCATATTGTACATGACTTAGTAAGTTTACGAAAATATTACGTTTCTTCTTTGTATTTGTACAATTCATATGTAACAATTGCTTTTAGATACAAAAATTAAGTATAAAGGCTGGTAAATTTTAATTTAAACAGTAGTTATCCTGCAAACAGTTGGCAAACCAAAATTACGAGCAAAATCATAAATTCCTAACACATCTGTATACAAAACATTGAAATATATCCCTGATACTTCAGATTTCGCGTTTTTAAATGTAAAATAAGAACTCGATTACTTTTACTTTAAAAAAAAAATCTTTATCAATTTAGACTTCCGTAGCTCTAATAAAAGGGATGGCGGGATTTTGATCGCTGGTGGATTGCTGCTCCTGTTTTGTTTGAATAACGGTTTTGGGTTTTGATGCGAAAGTGGTGCGGATTTTGGGTATTAAATGTCAACGCATGTGAACTATTAGTGCAGATGATGAAACTAGTGCTTCGATGGCGATGTGATACTCAAGTTATTGTGTCTGCTTTGGCGCCTTGAGATTCTGTGGTCATCGACTATTGGCTGGCTCAGGCACTTTCACCCAATAACTTCGCAATGTGACGCATCAACATTTTATGAATAAATTTTGAAAGAAATTACATTAAAGGATAATTTCTTATTACTTGACTCTAGTAAAAGTACAACAGTCATGTTTAAAGTTTTAATCAATTTTCTGCACTTTTGCATTATATAAAGAGTTAAATATGAATTCTGTGAAATAAATAAACAAAATCACGATCAAATGCACTCTACAATATGACACTATAGTCTTAAAGATATAATAAACAATAAAAGCGAGGGCAAATGTTTTACGTCAGTCAGCCAATTAAGATTGATGATGTATGGATACTGAACGGTGTCTTCAGCTTTGTTATTGACGCTTTTGACTGTGTGGTGCAAGAAAAATAAATAAAGTAATATAAATTAATATAAATTCAGGACATTTGGTGAACATTATATGTGACCATTGTGACGTCAAAACTTTTTATATTGCTTGTAATAACCAAAACAATACTATGCAATATGCCCTATCAACTTAGATACAAATGATACAAGGAGAGTTCCTCAGGGCACAATTCTTGGTCCAAGTCTAGCACACACTTTTTAAAACTTTATGCAGTTAGGGCTGTGTGACTGGTGAAGGTAAGATTTAGGTAAGACATTAAAATTTACAGAACATAATCTCGCCATTGTAGCATTAAAACACTTTATATTGCTTATAATAAGCAAAATAATACTATATGTTTTGTCAACTTAGGTTCAAAAGAGCAAATAAGGTTTCCTCAAGGACCAATTCTCGGTCCAATTCTATTTCGAAATTTTTAAACTTTATGCAGTTATGGCTGTGTTACAGATGAAGGTAATAACATAAAAATTCACAGAACTTGTGAACATTATGGCGTCAAAACACTTTATAACCCTGGTTACAAGCAAAAGAATACTTTACAATATGCCCTGTCAACTTAGGTTCAAATGAGCAAAGAAGGTTTCTCATAGGCCAATTTTCGGTCCAATTCTATTTAATTTCTTATTGGTTGTGGGACAGCTGACAGTAAGAATATTATAATTTACAGTGCTATATTCTGATCACATAGTAAATTTTGATTGATGTTGCTGCTGGAATAAGAGTAAGAGTTGAATATGAACAAATCAATGATTTTTAATTGTTAACTACCTGTTGATAATTTTCAATAAGAGAGAATTTCGGCAATACTAAACTAGAGTAATTTATGAAATTGGCAAGGAATTGTGATAACCGTCAAACAAGCTACGGAATCTAAATTTTAGAAATATTAATTATATTTTCAATATATATTTAGAGAATCTTAAATTATTACAATCGAAAATTTTAATAGGGGTTTCATGAGCAAGTATAAGAATGACGCGCAAGCGCAACTCAAGCTCGGTAGCGAAATCTGAGCATATTGTGGGATAATACAGACAGTACAGTGGTTGTGTGATTGTGTGGGTGTGTGGGTGTGGGTGTGTGGTAGTACGCGAGTGGGCGAGTGAGCGGTACCGTAGTTGGGCTGCACGAAGACGAACTGCTGGATGAAGTCGTTGAGCAGGTCGCAGAGCTGGGGGTCGGGCTCGTACACCAGGCGGCGGAAGTGCGGCTCGGCCGCGTGGTGCAGCGTGTGCAGCTGCTCCGCGAAGAAGATCAGCAGGTCGCAGATGCTCGTGTACGCCTGCAGTGCGCACAACACGTTACTGCGCGCCGTATTAACAAACGTTCCTCAACGGTCAACTTAAAGGCGTAACCATTTGATACGCCCTTATATCCGTCACCTCAAGGTCGTTGTTAATTACCGTTACCATTACATCCTATTAAAGTCTATTGCTGAACATAGGCCTTTCCCATATACTGTCTCATAGAGTGGATATTTGCCATAGTTGCCATGCTTGGCAAGCGGGATAACAACCGCAGTTCTTTAATTTTCGTCGTTATAAGGAAGTCGCTGCTGCCCTTCTCCTGATTTGTTTCCCTCTGTCGCCTCTTACGACAACAAACAAGGGATGATATGGGGTAGTGGATACCGCCACTACACAGATGCTAATTAACACATAAAAACAGTATCTCGGTTACCAAGATGAGCTACTAAAGGCGCTGTACTTTAATACGTGGTAGAGCTTCGCTGCAGCAATAATATGGTTGTAACACGAATGGGTCGGCGGCTCGACTAGGGTAGGTATGATCTCACAGAATACCAGCGTAATATAGTAGTTTAATGCTGCTATGTTTCTAACGGTCAATGTAGAGAACCGGAGACCCTTTTTACTGGAAACGAGGCATTCCTTCTTAGTTCTCAAGGATGATGACTCATTTGCAGTTTGATTCTTGATTGAGGATAAATGTAGATGTCTATGGGTCGCAGCATCCACTTATCATTAGGTGTATTATGTGCTCGTTTGTCAGCCTTATTCAATAAAAGATACGGGGTTGCCAATTCGCTTTCTTTTAACTTTTGTGATTACTGTCTTAATACTTCTACATTCCTACGCCCAATTGGCCTTCTAAACCTTGATATTTCCATAGAGAGATATGGTTTTAGCATATGTAGCAATTCTTGAAATTTCATACAAATATCAAAAAAATCGTTCACCATCATCTATGTATCATTTGGATACAACTGTCTTTTTAAATTAATATTATGAACCCAGAAGTATCTTTTTCTCCCTCTGCCAATAAGCAGGCTATTACAATATTTTTTCCATAGCGATATGAGCGATTCCGAGCGATCAATGTCACTGTACCGATTCGCGCCAGTGGTTGGAAAAAACTGCAAAAAGGTGTTGGCAATACAAAAGATTTGCGTACGACGCGGACGGCGTGTACGTGTAAATGTGCGAGGCCATCAGTAAAATGTGGCGCGTACGGCGCATACGGTGCGTTCAGCTTTTTTTTTTTTTATAGAATAGGGGGCAAACGAGGCTGCGGCTCACCTGATGGCAAGTGACTACCGCCGCCCATGAACAACCGCAACACCAGGGGAATTGCAGATGCGTTGCCGGCCTTTTAGAAAGGTGTAAGCTCTTTTCTTGAAGGTTCCTAAGTCGTATCGGTTTGGAAAATTCGCTGGTGGTAATTGATTCCACAAAGAAGTTGTGCGAGGGAGAAAACTTCTTCTAAATCGCACAGTGGTGGACCGCCAATCATCCAGATGGTACGGATGGTAACGCGAGTTTTGTCGCAACGTGCGATGGTGAAATTGAGCGGCTGGAATTAGTCCGAACAATTCCTCAGAGCACTCCCCGTGATAGATGCGATAAAATACGCAAAGAGATGCAACATCTCTACGCAGTGCCAGTGTATCGAGCTGATCGGAAAGAACTCGGTCGTCGACGATTCGAATCGCTCTGCGCTGGATGCGGTCAAGTGGAAGGAGCTGGCACTGGGGTGCCCCGGCCCAGAGATGAGAACAGTATTCCATGTGGGGTCGAACTTGCGCTTTGTAAAGTTGCAAGCGATGTGCCGGCATGAAATACTGTCTCGCTCTGCTGAGCACGCCAAGCTTTTTAGAGGCCAATTTGGCCTTCCCTTCCAAGTGACCACGAAACTGCACGCTATTCGATATGTCGACGCCAAGGATTCCGATACTGGCTGAGGCAGCAAGGGGAGTGCCTTGAAACTGAGGAGATACGACAAAGGGGTTCTTTTTAGCGGTAAACGCGCAAACTTGTGTCTTCTGGGGATTGAACTGGACTAGATTTAGTCGGCCCCAATCCGAGACTTTGTTAAGCAAAGACTCGACTTCAGACACAAGTTTGTCCCGGTACTCGGAGACGTTTTCCCGAGAAATATTAGCACGGCCGGTATATAAGGCATCCCCAGTGCTGTCGTCTGCATAGCAATGAATGCTACCAGTTAGCAACATATCATTGATATGCAGGAGAAACAGCGTTGGTGATAGCACGCAGCCTTGTGGAACACCAGCGTTGATAGGCTTGTAATCAGAGCATGCACCGTCTACTACGACCTTGATGCTCCGATCAGCAAGGAAACTGGTGAACCATTTGCACAATTTCTTGGGAAGCCCATAGGAAGGAAGCTTCGAAAGAAGCGCCTTGTGCCAGACCCGATCGAAGGCCTTCGCTATGTCCAAACTAACGGCCAATGCCTCCCCCTTGGACTCTACTGCCTCCGCCCATCTATGAGTTAAGTAAACTAGAAGATCACCCGCTGATCGACCCCGATGAAAACCGTACTGACGGTCACTGATCAGCTGGTGATCTTCAAGGTACCTCATGAGCTGGCAGTTTATAATGGATTCCATTATTTTGAAGAACAAGGAGGTGATAGCGATAGGCCTGTAGTTGGACGGGTCAGAGCGGTCGCCTTTTTTAGGGATCGGGTGGACCAAAGCTGTCTTCCATGAATTCGGGACTACGCCTTGGGAGTAGGAGTACCGGAAAAGACGCGTTAAAACCGGTGCCAACTCCGGAGCACACGTCTTCAGCACAATGGGAGGGACTCCATCGGGCCCACTCGACTTGCTGACGTCCAGGGAGAAGAGTGCTTTGCGAACCGAGCGCTGTGTAAATCGCACATCCGGCATGGAGCACTCACATCGCGGGATGGTCGGCGGTGTGTTCCCCCCGTCATCTAGAGTCGAGTTAGACGCAAAAAGAGAGCACAACAGATCGGCTTTCTCTTTTGCGGCATGGGCCAGTGAGTCGTCCTCTCTGTGCAGAGATGGAAGGGATGGCTGACAGAAGTTCCCTTGGACAGCCTTGGCGAGAGACCAGAATGCACGGGTTCCCGAAGGAAGGCGAACTAGCTTCTCGCCAATTTTGCCGATGTGCTCAGACCTTGCCTTGGCAATGACGCTTTTGAAGGACCTGGAGGCGGAATTATACTTCTTTTTAAGTGCGCTGGTGTTTAAATCCCGAGAGATGCATCAGCCCAGGCCCGGTAGCACTCCTGCATATAGCGTGATGCTATTTTACAGGAGCGACCAAACCATGGCTGGGATCTGCCTCCGATGGGCACCACAGAGGATGGAATAAAAAGTTCCATACCCTGAAGTACCACATCAGCAACAGAATCGGCAACAACGCTGGGATCTTCCGGCGAGAAGCAAACCCGCCACCAAGGGTAGGATGCAAAAAAAGACCGCATCCCGTCCCAATCAGCTGACCTATAGTGCCAAACACGGCGGCAAGCTGCAGATCGCAACTGCGATTGGAGCGTGAGTGGCGCCGTGCTCCGGATCAGACAATGGTCCGAAGAGCCCAGAGGGGCATCGACGGAGACCTGATATCCGTCCGGATGAGAGGTCAGCAGAAGGTCCAACAGGGAAGGTACATGGTCTTCCACATCTGGGATCCGCGTAGGCGAAGTAACCAGTCGTGTTAGACCATATGCCAAAGCAAAGTCGTACACAGATCTACCCGCATGATCGGTTAAACCAGAACCAAGCCATTCAGCGTGGTGGGCGTTGAAATCACCGAGTATCACGATCTCTGCGGATGGGACCTGTTGTAGCACGGAGTCTGCAGCCATTTGGACGTGGTCGATGAGTCGGTCTGTGTCGGCATTACCGCTATGGGACCTATAGAGGCACCCGTAGACGCGGGGATGATCGTCGCTGTCTACGCGCAGCCATAGGATGGACAGGTCCGTACCTTCAAGGCTGCCGAGGCGTCGAAAACAGATGTCCTCTCTGACGTATACACAAACTCCAGCCCGGGGCACAAAGGAGTGTTCCAATTTGTATCCCGGGTAGGAGAGATATGAAGTATCAGCCGGAGAGGACACCTGAGTCTCGGTTAAAAAGAGCAAGGCCGGCTTCGCCGTCTCTAGATGGTAATGGACAGCGTTAAGGTTGGAATGAAGTCCCCTGATGTTGCAAAAATTCACGGATAGCGTGACAGGGGTCGCCTTGGTTGTATTGCTCCGCTTGCCCCGAGCAGCATTAGTCACGAGCGGAATTTTGAAGAATACGCGGGGCAGCCTGAGCACCCACACTCAGGAGTGAAGTAGTTTGGCCGTGGATGCTCAGCGAGGGATTCTCCAGGGGTGCTGGTACCCTCCTGGGGTAGTCTTGTATTTAATTCCACTACCATGTTGATGGGGGGGGGGGGGGATTGGGCCTCCGGCCACCTGCACTCACCAAGCGCAACGCAGAGGTAAACCTCTACTTCACGCTGGTATTCTGTGAGGTCGTGGTACCACCCCGGTTCGAGCTGGCCCATCCGTGCGACAGCAAAAGCTACCGCTTAGCTCTACCACTGTTAAAATTATGAACTTAACAATTAGCTTAACAATTATGAAACAGTAATGATGCAGTAATAACTCGTGACGATTGGATATTGAGTTGTACTGTTCTCGTGTTCGACGGCAAATCGGTTATATAGAACTTATGTCGCTGAAGCAGAAGTATGAGATGAGTTAACCGATCTCCTAACATCGGTTGAGTATAAAGTACCCTTAACCGATGAGAATGTATGCATCGGTATATGTAAAGGAGGCGAGAGAGTTGTGTCAGGATCGTGCTCGTAGCGTGTGGCCACCCCTGTGGGCGGCATACCTCCTCGCGCAGATCTGGCGTGACTCCGTGGGCCACGATGTCCCTGCAGTGCGCGCGACATACCTCCTCGCGCAGGTCGGGCGTGACTCCGTGGGCCACGATGTCCCTGCAGTGCGCGCGACATACCTCCTCGCACAGGTCGGGCGTGACTCCGTGGGCCACGATGTCCCTGCAGTGCGCGCGACATACCTCCTCGCGCAGGTCGGGCGTGACTCCGTGGGCCACGATGTCCCTGCAGTGCGCGCGACATACCTCCTCGCGCAGGTCGGGCGTGACTCCGTGGGCCACGATGTCCCTGCAGTGCGCGCGACATACCTCCTCGCACAGGTCGGGCGTGACTCCGTGGGCCACGATGTCCCTGCAGTGCGCGCGACATACCTCCTCGCGCAGGTCGGGCGTGACTCCGTGGGCCACGATGTCCCTGCAGTGCGCGCGACATACCTCCTCGCGCAGGTCGGGCGTGACTCCGTGGGCCACGATGTCCCTGCAGTGCGCGCGACATACCTCCTCGCGCAGGTCGGGCGTGACTCCGTGGGCCACGATGTCCCTGCAGTGCGCGCGACATACCTCCTCGCGCAGGTCGGGCGTGACTCCGTGGGCCACGATGTCCCTGCAGTGCGCGCGACATACCTCCTCGCACAGGTCGGGCGTGACTCCGTGGGCCACGATGTCCCTGCAGTGCGCGCGACATACCTCCTCGCGCAGGTCGGGCGTGACTCCGTGGGCCACGATGTCCCTGCAGTGCGCGCGACATACCTCCTCGCGCAGGTCGGGCGTGACTCCGTGGGCCACGATGTCCCTGCAGTGCGCGCGACATACCTCCTCGCGCAGGTCGGGCGTGACTCCGTGGGCCACGATGTCCCTGCAGTGCGCGCGACATACCTCCTCGCACAGGTCGGGCGTGACTCCGTGGGCCACGATGTCCCTGCAGTGCGCGCGACATACCTCCTCGCGCAGGTCGGGCGTGACTCCGTGGGCCACGATGTCCCTGCAGTGCGCGCGACATACCTCCTCGCGCAGGTCGGGCGTGACTCCGTGGGCCACGATGTCCCTGCAGTGCGCGCAGTAGCCGTGCAGGCGCTCGCGCAGCAGCTCCACGTCGGCCGCCGCGCCGCCGCCCGCGCCGCCCCCGCCGCCCGCCCCGCCACCCGCCCCGCCCGCGCCGCGCTCCTCCAGCTCGTGCAGCGACCACAGGATCGAGTAGAAGCAAGCGCGCACCACGTACACCAACGCCTGCACAGTTGTTGCAACCATTACTCATTCGACGTACCACGTAGCAGATCGGTTCAACCGGTGGGAGACCACGATCTCACAGATTACCATCATAAAATAACAGCTTAATACTGTTGTTTCTTATGGTAAGTTTGGAAATCCAAAGACCCTTTTTACTGAAAACGAGACATTCTATCTATTCTCAGAGGTGACAATGCATCTGCATTTTGATACTTAATCAAAAATAACTGTACGTGTAAAGGGCCACAACATACCTTACCATTAGGTGAACTGTATGCCCGTTTGTCACCCATATTCTATAAAATAAAATAAAATACTTATAGGACGTGACATTGAGTCGGCTCGTCCAGGGAACCAGCCGTGAAATTATAGTATAACGCACCTGTTTTGAATGAGTGTAAAACAGACTCTCCAAACTCGCCAGAGAGTCGTCCTCTCTATGCACAGAGAGGACGACTCACTGACCCATGCCGTAAAGGAGAAAGCCGATCTGTTGAGCTCTCTCTTCGCGTCCAACTCAACTCTAGATGACAGGGGAAACACACCGCCAACGATTCCGCAGTGTGAGTGCTCCATACCGAATGTGCAGTTTACACAGCGCTCGGTTTGCAAAGCACTCTTCTCCCTGGACGTCAGCAAGTCGAGTGGGCCTGATGGAGTCCCTCCCATTATGCTGAAAACGTATGCTCCGAAGTTGGCACCGGTTTTAACGCGTCTTTTCCGGTACTCCTACTCCCAAGGCGTAGTCCCAAATTCATGGAAGAGAGCTTTTGTCCACCCGATCCCTAAAAGCGACCACTCAGACCCGTCCAACTACAGGCCTATCGCTATCACCTCCTTGTTCTCCAAAATAATAGTCACCTCCTTGTTCTCCAAAATAATAGAATCCATTATAAACTGCCACCTCATGAGATACCTTGAGAATCACCAGCTGATTAGTGACCACGAGTACGATTTTCGTCGGGATCGATCAGCTGGTGATCTTCTGGTCTACCTGACTCATAGATGGGCGGAGGCAGTAGAGTCCAAGGGGGAGGCATTGACCATTTTATTGTAAACATAGGGAAGAACATTTCGAAGCTTCCTTCCTATTGGCTTCCCGAGAAATTGTGCAGTTGGATCACCAGTTTCCTTGCTGATTGGAGCATCAAGGTCGTAGTAAACGGTGCATGCTGTGATTTCAAGCCTATCAACGCTGGTGTTCCACAAAGCTGCGTGCTATCACCAACGCTATTTCTCCTGCATATCAATGATATGTTGCAAGCTGGTAGCATTCATTGTTATGCAGACGACAGCACTGGTGATGACTTATATACCGGCCCTTGCCAATATTTCTTGGGAAAACGTCGCCGAGTACCGGGACAAACTTGTGTCTGAAGTCGAGTCTTTGGTGAACAAAGTCTCAGATTGGGGGCGACTAAATCTAGTCCAGTTCAATGCCCAGGAGACACAAGTTTGCGCGTTTACCGCTAAAAAGAACCCCTTTGTCGTATCTCCTCAGTTTCAAGGCACTCCCCTTGCTGCCTCTGCTAGCATCGGAATCTTCGGCGTCGACATATCGAATAGTGTGCAGTTTCGTGGTCACTTGGAAGGGAAGACCAAATTGCTCTCTAAAAAGCTTGGCGTGCTCAGCAAAGCGAGACAGTATTTCATGCCTGCACATCGCTTGCAACTTTACAAAGCGCAAATCCGGCCTCACATGGAATACTGTTCTCATCTCTGGGACTTTTCCGGACCGATACGACTTAGGGACTTTTAAGAAAAGAGCTTACACCTTTCTAAAAGGCCGGCAACGCATCTGCAATTCCCCTGGTGTTGCGGTTGTTTATGGGCGGCGGTAGTCACTTACCATCAGGTGAGGCGCATGCTCGTTTGCCCCCTCTTCTTTAAAAAAAGTTTTTTACAAGTAAGACATTCAAGCTTAACACTGACGACATCGCATCTACTAATTTCACGGTAGATGTCTGTTAGAGTATAGGCCACGGCATCCACTGACCATGCGGTACACTGTTTTTTTTTTATATAGAAGAGGGGACAAACGAGCGTGCGGCTCACCTGATGGTAAGTGAATACCTTTAAATCAGTGCTTTTCATCACCCTTACATTTATAAAAAATAAATCTTCATCAGCAAATAACCGTAATAATCATAATAATACTCAATAATAATCAAAAATATCAGAAATACACATATATAGTTAAGCCACAATCGTTTAGCATACTTGATAAGAAAATTAAAATCAGTCCTATTTTGGAGGGAGAAACCCCTGTTATCCCTATACAAGAGATGATATTTTTGTCTCTCTGTAATTCGTACAAACTGCAGTTAGTTGCCTCTCTCGCTTGTCTAGCTCGATCGTTCACGCACACGCTATAGCAATAGGACTGTTAAAAATCTATTCTTCAAATATCATTTCACTAATTTAGCTAATATTTTCTTTGTGACAGCAACAAATTACATACCAGTTTCCAAGTACATATTTGGAAGTCTTACCTGTGCAGGCATTGGGTCATTCTCCACAACGCATTTTGGTAGATCCTCAAACAACGAGTCCCAAATGTTTGTATCATTTAAATTGTGACACATGTACATTATGGACACTTTGCGTAATGAATTGGTTACATTGAACAGTTCGTCTGCATCTGGTGTCTCTCCCTAAAACAAAAGTAAATGACATTTAATATGATATAAATAAATAAATCAAAAAACCGGCCAAGTGCGAGTTGGACTCGCGCACCGAGAGTTCCGTACAAACCTGTAGGTATATAAGTAAGTTATGGTATTTTTATTGCCAAATGAAATCCATAACATTACAATGTGGAAAGCTGGAGGAGCATAAATTTAAGGCAAAGGTCTCTTTATCGTTTCAGTAATCCTTTATTTTAACACATATTTCATTTATTTTATAATATAATTTAAATACCCACACTAGCCTTGCAGCAGCCTTGCAAAAGTTCTTTTATCAAAGTTATTTATTTACAAAGTTTTTTAGGTACTATTTAGAAATCTGTTTCAAAAATACTAATTAAGTATTAAATTTGAACCAGATCTGTAAATGGTGACTGAAAAATGAATAGTACTACATTGAACAATGAAGTTCGAAAATACGTTATCTATAGTTGTACTATTTCGGGTAGTGCTGGTGTTTATTAACGGAAATATGTTTATGGGTGAAAAATATGTGGAAATTCCATTTTGGGGATTCATTCTAAAATCGATGTTGAAGTCAACCTTTAAATCAAACGTGGCAATCGCCTCTATAAGCCAATCTATGGAGGAGGCCTACGTTCAACAATGGATTTTTGATAAAATTTAACGATAATTCGGAAAGGAACTGCACATTTTGCATAAGTAAAATTTTGTGAAATGCTTTTTACAATCATTGGTTCGAAAAAAAGCCTAGATTAAATAGCAAGAAATTTGCCATAATTGCATCTTGGCAAGCTAATTGACAATTGCACTTTTTATTACTTTGAGTTGTTATCAGGAAGATGCCGATGCCCGTCGTTCGTTACGCCTCTTACGACGCCCACGGGACAATATAGGGTAGTGGATATTGTTACAGGGTGTAGCGTGAGTGAGTGGGTGCGGCGGTCGGCAGTGCGGCGGTCGGTACTCACGCCCTCGATCAGGTTGCGGAAGTCGTCGAGCGCCTCGCGGTACTTGTGCGCGACGGAGTCGGCGAGCGTGGCGCGCGCCACGTTGCAGCGCGAGTACACGGCGCAGCGCTCGGCGCACAGCAGCTGCAGCGAGTGAGTGGGTGAGTGTGTGCGGCGGTCGGTACTCACGCCCTCGATCAGGTTGCGGAAGTCGTCGAGCGCCTCGCGGTACTTGTGCGCGACGGAGTCGGCGAGCGTGGCGCGCGCCACGTTGCAGCGCGAGTACACGGCGCAGCGCTCGGCGCACAGCAGCTGCAGCGAGTGAGTGGGTGAGTGTGTGCGGCGGTCGGTACTCACGCCCTCGATCAGGTTGCGGAAGTCGTCGAGCGCCTCGCGGTACTTGTGCGCGACGGAGTCGGCGAGCGTGGCGCGCGCCACGTTGCAGCGCGAGTACACGGCGCAGCGCTCGGCGCACAGCAGCTGCAGCGAGTGAGTGGGTGAGTGTGTGCGGCGGTCGGTACTCACGCCCTCGATCAGGTTGCGGAAGTCGTCGAGCGCCTCGCGGTACTTGTGCGCGACGGAGTCGGCGAGCGTGGCGCGCGCCACGTTGCAGCGCGAGTACACGGCGCAGCGCTCGGCGCACAGCAGCTGCAGCGAGTGAGTGGGTGAGTGTGTGCGGCGGTCGGTACTCACGCCCTCGATCAGGTTGCGGAAGTCGTCGAGCGCCTCGCGGTACTTGTGCGCGACGGAGTCGGCGAGCGTGGCGCGCGCCACGTTGCAGCGCGAGTACACGGCGCAGCGCTCGGCGCACAGCAGCTGCAGCGAGTGAGTGGGTGAGTGTGTGCGGCGGTCGGTACTCACGCCCTCGATCAGGTTGCGGAAGTCGTCGAGCGCCTCGCGGTACTTGTGCGCGACGGAGTCGGCGAGCGTGGCGCGCGCCACGTTGCAGCGCGAGTACACGGCGCAGCGCTCGGCGCACAGCAGCTGCAGCGAGTGAGTGGGTGAGTGTGTGCGGCGGTCGGTACTCACGCCCTCGATCAGGTTGCGGAAGTCGTCGAGCGCCTCGCGGTACTTGTGCGCGACGGAGTCGGCGAGCGTGGCGCGCGCCACGTTGCAGCGCGAGTACACGGCGCAGCGCTCGGCGCACAGCAGCTGCAGCGAGTGAGTGGGTGAGTGTGTGCGGCGGTCGGTACTCACGCCCTCGATCAGGTTGCGGAAGTCGTCGAGCGCCTCGCGGTACTTGTGCGCGACGGAGTCGGCGAGCGTGGCGCGCGCCACGTTGCAGCGCGAGTACACGGCGCAGCGCTCGGCGCACAGCAGCTGCAGCGAGTGAGTGGGTGAGTGTGTGCGGCGGTCGGTACTCACGCCCTCGATCAGGTTGCGGAAGTCGTCGAGCGCCTCGCGGTACTTGTGCGCGACGGAGTCGGCGAGCGTGGCGCGCGCCACGTTGCAGCGCGAGTACACGGCGCAGCGCTCGGCGCACAGCAGCTGCAGCGAGTGAGTGGGTGAGTGTGTGCGGCGGTCGGTACTCACGCCCTCGATCAGGTTGCGGAAGTCGTCGAGCGCCTCGCGGTACTTGTGCGCGACGGAGTCGGCGAGCGTGGCGCGCGCCACGTTGCAGCGCGAGTACACGGCGCAGCGCTCGGCGCACAGCAGCTGCAGCGAGTGAGTGGGTGAGTGTGTGCGGCGGTCGGTACTCACGCCCTCGATCAGGTTGCGGAAGTCGTCGAGCGCCTCGCGGTACTTGTGCGCGACGGAGTCGGCGAGCGTGGCGCGCGCCACGTTGCAGCGCGAGTACACGGCGCAGCGCTCGGCGCACAGCAGCTGCAGCGAGTGAGTGGGTGAGTGTGTGCGGCGGTCGGTACTCACGCCCTCGATCAGGTTGCGGAAGTCGTCGAGCGCCTCGCGGTACTTGTGCGCGACGGAGTCGGCGAGCGTGGCGCGCGCCACGTTGCAGCGCGAGTACACGGCGCAGCGCTCGGCGCACAGCAGCTGCAGCGAGTGAGTGGGTGAGTGTGTGCGGCGGTCGGTACTCACGCCCTCGATCAGGTTGCGGAAGTCGTCGAGCGCCTCGCGGTACTTGTGCGCGACGGAGTCGGCGAGCGTGGCGCGCGCCACGTTGCAGCGCGAGTACACGGCGCAGCGCTCGGCGCACAGCAGCTGCAGCGAGTGAGTGGGTGAGTGTGTGCGGCGGTCGGTACTCACGCCCTCGATCAGGTTGCGGAAGTCGTCGAGCGCCTCGCGGTACTTGTGCGCGACGGAGTCGGCGAGCGTGGCGCGCGCCACGTTGCAGCGCGAGTACACGGCGCAGCGCTCGGCGCACAGCAGCTGCAGCGAGTGAGTGGGTGAGTGTGTGCGGCGGTCGGTACTCACGCCCTCGATCAGGTTGCGGAAGTCGTCGAGCGCCTCGCGGTACTTGTGCGCGACGGAGTCGGCGAGCGTGGCGCGCGCCACGTTGCAGCGCGAGTACACGGCGCAGCGCTCGGCGCACAGCAGCTGCAGCGAGTGAGTGGGTGAGTGTGTGCGGCGGTCGGTACTCACGCCCTCGATCAGGTTGCGGAAGTCGTCGAGCGCCTCGCGGTACTTGTGCGCGACGGAGTCGGCGAGCGTGGCGCGCGCCACGTTGCAGCGCGAGTACACGGCGCAGCGCTCGGCGCACAGCAGCTGCAGCGAGTGAGTGGGTGAGTGTGTGCGGCGGTCGGTACTCACGCCCTCGATCAGGTTGCGGAAGTCGTCGAGCGCCTCGCGGTACTTGTGCGCGACGGAGTCGGCGAGCGTGGCGCGCGCCACGTTGCAGCGCGAGTACACGGCGCAGCGCTCGGCGCACAGCAGCTGCAGCGAGTGAGTGGGTGAGTGTGTGCGGCGGTCGGTACTCACGCCCTCGATCAGGTTGCGGAAGTCGTCGAGCGCCTCGCGGTACTTGTGCGCGACGGAGTCGGCGAGCGTGGCGCGCGCCACGTTGCAGCGCGAGTACACGGCGCAGCGCTCGGCGCACAGCAGCTGCAGCGAGTGAGTGGGTGAGTGTGTGCGGCGGTCGGTACTCACGCCCTCGATCAGGTTGCGGAAGTCGTCGAGCGCCTCGCGGTACTTGTGCGCGACGGAGTCGGCGAGCGTGGCGCGCGCCACGTTGCAGCGCGAGTACACGGCGCAGCGCTCGGCGCACAGCAGCTGCAGCGAGTGAGTGGGTGAGTGTGTGCGGCGGTCGGTACTCACGCCCTCGATCAGGTTGCGGAAGTCGTCGAGCGCCTCGCGGTACTTGTGCGCGACGGAGTCGGCGAGCGTGGCGCGCGCCACGTTGCAGCGCGAGTACACGGCGCAGCGCTCGGCGCACAGCAGCTGCAGCGAGTGAGTGGGTGAGTGTGTGCGGCGGTCGGTACTCACGCCCTCGATCAGGTTGCGGAAGTCGTCGAGCGCCTCGCGGTACTTGTGCGCGACGGAGTCGGCGAGCGTGGCGCGCGCCACGTTGCAGCGCGAGTACACGGCGCAGCGCTCGGCGCACAGCAGCTGCAGCGAGTGAGTGGGTGAGTGTGTGCGGCGGTCGGTACTCACGCCCTCGATCAGGTTGCGGAAGTCGTCGAGCGCCTCGCGGTACTTGTGCGCGACGGAGTCGGCGAGCGTGGCGCGCGCCACGTTGCAGCGCGAGTACACGGCGCAGCGCTCGGCGCACAGCAGCTGCAGCGAGTGAGTGGGTGAGTGTGTGCGGCGGTCGGTACTCACGCCCTCGATCAGGTTGCGGAAGTCGTCGAGCGCCTCGCGGTACTTGTGCGCGACGGAGTCGGCGAGCGTGGCGCGCGCCACGTTGCAGCGCGAGTACACGGCGCAGCGCTCGGCGCACAGCAGCTGCAGCGAGTGAGTGGGTGAGTGTGTGCGGCGGTCGGTACTCACGCCCTCGATCAGGTTGCGGAAGTCGTCGAGCGCCTCGCGGTACTTGTGCGCGACGGAGTCGGCGAGCGTGGCGCGCGCCACGTTGCAGCGCGAGTACACGGCGCAGCGCTCGGCGCACAGCAGCTGCAGCGAGTGAGTGGGTGAGTGTGTGCGGCGGTCGGTACTCACGCCCTCGATCAGGTTGCGGAAGTCGTCGAGCGCCTCGCGGTACTTGTGCGCGACGGAGTCGGCGAGCGTGGCGCGCGCCACGTTGCAGCGCGAGTACACGGCGCAGCGCTCGGCGCACAGCAGCTGCAGCGAGTGAGTGGGTGAGTGTGTGCGGCGGTCGGTACTCACGCCCTCGATCAGGTTGCGGAAGTCGTCGAGCGCCTCGCGGTACTTGTGCGCGACGGAGTCGGCGAGCGTGGCGCGCGCCACGTTGCAGCGCGAGTACACGGCGCAGCGCTCGGCGCACAGCAGCTGCAGCGAGTGAGTGGGTGAGTGTGTGCGGCGGTCGGTACTCACGCCCTCGATCAGGTTGCGGAAGTCGTCGAGCGCCTCGCGGTACTTGTGCGCGACGGAGTCGGCGAGCGTGGCGCGCGCCACGTTGCAGCGCGAGTACACGGCGCAGCGCTCGGCGCACAGCAGCTGCAGCGAGTGAGTGGGTGAGTGTGTGCGGCGGTCGGTACTCACGCCCTCGATCAGGTTGCGGAAGTCGTCGAGCGCCTCGCGGTACTTGTGCGCGACGGAGTCGGCGAGCGTGGCGCGCGCCACGTTGCAGCGCGAGTACACGGCGCAGCGCTCGGCGCACAGCAGCTGCAGCGAGTGAGTGGGTGAGTGTGTGCGGCGGTCGGTACTCACGCCCTCGATCAGGTTGCGGAAGTCGTCGAGCGCCTCGCGGTACTTGTGCGCGACGGAGTCGGCGAGCGTGGCGCGCGCCACGTTGCAGCGCGAGTACACGGCGCAGCGCTCGGCGCACAGCAGCTGCAGCGAGTGAGTGGGTGAGTGTGTGCGGCGGTCGGTACTCACGCCCTCGATCAGGTTGCGGAAGTCGTCGAGCGCCTCGCGGTACTTGTGCGCGACGGAGTCGGCGAGCGTGGCGCGCGCCACGTTGCAGCGCGAGTACACGGCGCAGCGCTCGGCGCACAGCAGCTGCAGCGAGTGAGTGGGTGAGTGTGTGCGGCGGTCGGTACTCACGCCCTCGATCAGGTTGCGGAAGTCGTCGAGCGCCTCGCGGTACTTGTGCGCGACGGAGTCGGCGAGCGTGGCGCGCGCCACGTTGCAGCGCGAGTACACGGCGCAGCGCTCGGCGCACAGCAGCTGCAGCGAGTGAGTGGGTGAGTGTGTGCGGCGGTCGGTACTCACGCCCTCGATCAGGTTGCGGAAGTCGTCGAGCGCCTCGCGGTACTTGTGCGCGACGGAGTCGGCGAGCGTGGCGCGCGCCACGTTGCAGCGCGAGTACACGGCGCAGCGCTCGGCGCACAGCAGCTGCAGCGAGTGAGTGGGTGAGTGTGTGCGGCGGTCGGTACTCACGCCCTCGATCAGGTTGCGGAAGTCGTCGAGCGCCTCGCGGTACTTGTGCGCGACGGAGTCGGCGAGCGTGGCGCGCGCCACGTTGCAGCGCGAGTACACGGCGCAGCGCTCGGCGCACAGCAGCTGCAGCGAGTGAGTGGGTGAGTGTGTGCGGCGGTCGGTACTCACGCCCTCGATCAGGTTGCGGAAGTCGTCGAGCGCCTCGCGGTACTTGTGCGCGACGGAGTCGGCGAGCGTGGCGCGCGCCACGTTGCAGCGCGAGTACACGGCGCAGCGCTCGGCGCACAGCAGCTGCAGCGAGTGAGTGGGTGAGTGTGTGCGGCGGTCGGTACTCACGCCCTCGATCAGGTTGCGGAAGTCGTCGAGCGCCTCGCGGTACTTGTGCGCGACGGAGTCGGCGAGCGTGGCGCGCGCCACGTTGCAGCGCGAGTACACGGCGCAGCGCTCGGCGCACAGCAGCTGCAGCGAGTGAGTGGGTGAGTGTGTGCGGCGGTCGGTACTCACGCCCTCGATCAGGTTGCGGAAGTCGTCGAGCGCCTCGCGGTACTTGTGCGCGACGGAGTCGGCGAGCGTGGCGCGCGCCACGTTGCAGCGCGAGTACACGGCGCAGCGCTCGGCGCACAGCAGCTGCAGCGAGTGAGTGGGTGAGTGTGTGCGGCGGTCGGTACTCACGCCCTCGATCAGGTTGCGGAAGTCGTCGAGCGCCTCGCGGTACTTGTGCGCGACGGAGTCGGCGAGCGTGGCGCGCGCCACGTTGCAGCGCGAGTACACGGCGCAGCGCTCGGCGCACAGCAGCTGCAGCGAGTGAGTGGGTGAGTGTGTGCGGCGGTCGGTACTCACGCCCTCGATCAGGTTGCGGAAGTCGTCGAGCGCCTCGCGGTACTTGTGCGCGACGGAGTCGGCGAGCGTGGCGCGCGCCACGTTGCAGCGCGAGTACACGGCGCAGCGCTCGGCGCACAGCAGCTGCAGCGAGTGAGTGGGTGAGTGTGTGCGGCGGTCGGTACTCACGCCCTCGATCAGGTTGCGGAAGTCGTCGAGCGCCTCGCGGTACTTGTGCGCGACGGAGTCGGCGAGCGTGGCGCGCGCCACGTTGCAGCGCGAGTACACGGCGCAGCGCTCGGCGCACAGCAGCTGCAGCGAGTGAGTGGGTGAGTGTGTGCGGCGGTCGGTACTCACGCCCTCGATCAGGTTGCGGAAGTCGTCGAGCGCCTCGCGGTACTTGTGCGCGACGGAGTCGGCGAGCGTGGCGCGCGCCACGTTGCAGCGCGAGTACACGGCGCAGCGCTCGGCGCACAGCAGCTGCAGCGAGTGAGTGGGTGAGTGTGTGCGGCGGTCGGTACTCACGCCCTCGATCAGGTTGCGGAAGTCGTCGAGCGCCTCGCGGTACTTGTGCGCGACGGAGTCGGCGAGCGTGGCGCGCGCCACGTTGCAGCGCGAGTACACGGCGCAGCGCTCGGCGCACAGCAGCTGCAGCGAGTGAGTGGGTGAGTGTGTGCGGCGGTCGGTACTCACGCCCTCGATCAGGTTGCGGAAGTCGTCGAGCGCCTCGCGGTACTTGTGCGCGACGGAGTCGGCGAGCGTGGCGCGCGCCACGTTGCAGCGCGAGTACACGGCGCAGCGCTCGGCGCACAGCAGCTGCAGCGAGTGAGTGGGTGAGTGTGTGCGGCGGTCGGTACTCACGCCCTCGATCAGGTTGCGGAAGTCGTCGAGCGCCTCGCGGTACTTGTGCGCGACGGAGTCGGCGAGCGTGGCGCGCGCCACGTTGCAGCGCGAGTACACGGCGCAGCGCTCGGCGCACAGCAGCTGCAGCGAGTGAGTGGGTGAGTGTGTGCGGCGGTCGGTACTCACGCCCTCGATCAGGTTGCGGAAGTCGTCGAGCGCCTCGCGGTACTTGTGCGCGACGGAGTCGGCGAGCGTGGCGCGCGCCACGTTGCAGCGCGAGTACACGGCGCAGCGCTCGGCGCACAGCAGCTCCAGCGTGCGCGCGCACGTCTCCAGCACCTCGCACTCCGTCTGCGTGCTCATGATCTCGCGCACCTTGTTCAGCAGCAGCGTCAGGTTCTGCATGCACACAATGCATCTCAACACTCCACTAATACATAACAGGACCACTGGACAAATGGACCGGTACACTATTTAGATTCGTGAAGGGAAATACGATTTTATATACAAGCAAACAACCACTTTACTCGTATATGATATTTTCTTAAGTATATATTTACTTCGAACTTTAGGGAACTGCGACTTTATACATGCTTATTTTGCAAAGGTTCAGAATAAATAATATAGGTGTTTGTTCGATTTACTATAGTCAATTTGTCACTAGACTAGACGTCGCTTATCGACATGTTTGTGTCGAATCGGTTTAGAAATCGATTTAGTTAATGTGGTACTCTGTGATTGTAGTTAGTGTGGTACTGGTGAGATATCGCTCATCGATTTAAAAACGCGTTATGGTTTGACCATTACGTAGACTTATAGTAATTAGTTGACTTTTAATAAAATATGCATCATACGAAGTAACGGCTGTTTGATTTCATAAATAATTGGTCGTAATTTTCCTATCCAGTTCCAGCACATAGATAGTTAAACAGTGGTCCTTCGAGCCGGATATATTGGGAGTGGTGTAGTGCTGTGCAATGCAGTATAGTGCAGTGCAGTGTAGTAATGAATGAGCAAAAGACCGTAAATACAAAAGGAATGTTTAGCAAGTATAATGAACTTTATTACTTCGGACAATTTAAGTTTCTAATATTGCATGGATTCCTTACACTTGTAAAAATTTTATGTAGCTTCATTAACTTAAACTGATTTCGCTCTTAGCTTCATAAATTTCATACGTATAAAAAAACATGTAAGCAGTACACGCGGTAGAAATGAAACCTCCAAATGAAGTGAAATATAAAACAAAAATATATCACAGGAAATGATTTATTTAATTTGATCATTTTCAACACCAGTACGGCAAAAATATAACATAAAAGTTTAATTTTATAGCAAATAAATGTTACTATCCTTATTTTTAGACATGTAAAGCCTAAATTTTAGTGTATTAATTTAAAAGAATATTTTCTTTCGGCTAAAGTTACTTTATAATAGCGACGTATACTTTATTCTATAGGTAAAATAATTTAATATAAATCGGTAAGATATTATGAAATCGTGGATTATTAAGAATAGTTTGGACATGATAATTTTATTCACTGTATTTAATTTTATTTATTTGATAATAAATTTGTAATCTTTCTAATTCTTTATTTTAACAGTTAAAAATTACACTAACCATTTTTAAAGCACTGCACACAGATGAGATCAAGATTTATACTGAACTAAGAAACAATTTATACTGAACTAGCTGTTCCCCGCGGTATTATTAGTTTCTCAACGAGTAGCTAGGCGTCCTTCGCGCGCAGATCTGTGTTAAATTATTTAAATTTTTTATTATCTTTTAAACTATGCGCCCAAATAACATGCTATAGAGAGCAAAGTTTATTTTCATAAAATTGTCTGGATGATGAAGTAACTTTCATTCGTAAGGATTTATATGGCATGTTACAAAATACCTCATTGTGGCTTATGTATAAAAAACTTATGGTATCGCGGACTTTTTTTTTTGAGATTGAGGAAAGATCTATATTTTTTTTAGAACATAGTATTCACGTATCACTAACTTTTTCTTCAGATTTTCTTAACAAAAATCACTATTTAAGGCTAGCTGAGAGGTGTAGCCTAATGTTAGACAGCCTATGCTTACTTATTCCTCGTGAATCTAGCTATCATATCCAAAAAGAATGTATCAAGTCGGACTAGTAGTTCCATAAATTAGCGTTTAAACAAACAAAAACCTCATCCGCTTTATTGTATCTCGTTTTAGTGTCGCTTTTTTTTTTATAGAATAGGGGGCAAACGAGCATGCGGCTCACCTGATGGTAAGTGACTACCGCCGCCCATGAACAACCGCAACACCAGGGGAATTGCAGATGCGTTGCCGGCCTTTTAGAAAGGTGTAAGCTCTTTTCTTGAAGGTTCCTAAGTCGTATCGGTTCGGAAAATTCGCTGGTGGTAATTGATTCCACAAAGAAGTTGTGCGAGGAAGAAAACTTCTTCTAAATCGCACAGTGGTGGACCGCCAATCATCCAGATGGTATGGATGGTAACGCGAGTTTTGTCGCGATGTACGATAGTGAAATTGAGCGGCTGGAATTAGTCCGAACAATTCCTCAGAGCACTCCCCGTGATAGATGCGATAAAATACGCAAAGAGATGCAACATCTCTACGCAGTGCCAGTGTATCGAGCCGATCGGAAAGAACTCGGTCGTCGACGATTCGAATCGCTCTGCGCTGGATGCGGTCAAGTGGAAGGAGCTGGCACTGGGGTGCCCCGGCCCAGAGATGAGAACAGTATTCCATGTGGGGCCGAACTTGCGCTTTGTAAAGTTGCAAGCGATGTGCTTTTTCGTTTCATTTAGTTTCAAATCACAACGATGCTAAAGAAGCTTTCACTTCCAACAGACTACTTACTTACTTATCTTCACGCACAATCCCTGACGGGGTAGCCAGAGAGAACAGATCGCCAAGTGTCACGATCCTTACATACCTCTTTCACTTCCTTCAGATTCATTATCTTCTTCATACATGCACGTCTAGTTATCCGAGTACTCTTGACCCTCCCCTATTTTGATTGATTGATTTTATCATAAAACTAAATCAGTCTAGGTTTTTATCAAAAACCTCTCTTTGTAGCATGATCAATATGATTGACGAATGTTAGTTTTTGATCCAAACGAATACCCAAATCTTTGACCACATTTACCTCTTTGATCTGAATTCCTTCGATATGATAAGCAGTTGGAATAATTTTAGATTTCCTAGTAAATTTGATGTGCACACATTTATCTAAGTTGAATTTCATGCCGTTTGTTGCACACCAAGCCACTAAGGAGTCGATATCCCTTTGCACAAGTGCAGCATTCTCAAGTGAACTAACGGCTCTGGCCAATTTCAAGTCGTCAGCAAACATGTATGGTTTCGTAAATTTAAGATTAAGAGGAAAGTCATTAACGAAGATGTTGAATAATATCGGTGCGATGTGAGAACCTTGGGGCACACCTGAAGGGATGGGATGCAATTCTGATGCAAAGCTATTCACTACCACATAAAAAGCTCGACCAGTAAGATAAGACTTAAGCCATTTTAAAAGAGAACCATGAAAACCATAAATTGATAGTTTCTTTAGAACGATATCATGAGAAACTCTATCGAACGCCTTGCTGAAGTCCGTATAGATAACATCAATTTGTCTATTGCTATCCATCTGCTGAATTAATTCCTCAGTGAAGAGGACCAGATTAGATATATAAGACCAGATAAAACCATGCTGGCAGGGTGATATGAACTTCAGAATGTGATTTTGTATGTATGGACAGACAAGTGCCTCCAGTACTTTAGCTAAGGTAGATAAGATGGAGATTGGTCTGTAATTTGAGACTCTACAATTGTCACCATTTTTATGAATAGGCACAACTTTGGAAGTTTTCTATATAATTGGAAATATACCTGTGTGAAGTGAAATGTTAAAAATTTTGTAAAGTGGTGTCAGAAGATTGTTCGCACACTTTGAAATGAATATTGGGGTAACATTATCGTAGCCTGCTCCTTTAGAAATGTCCACACTCTGTAGCGTTTTTAAAATTAAATTGTGATCTAATTTTAAGGAAGAAAAGCATTCACTGTTTTTGCTAATTATGTTGAGATTAGCGTCAAAGTGTTCGCTCGTATTACTTTTATTTATGCTTTGAGAATTACAGTATATGGAAGTGAAATAAGAGGCAAAGAGATTGCAGATGTCCCTACCCTCTGTAAAATAAGCGGTACCGTCGGTCATAGACATAGGATAAGTACTAGAGCCCCCACGTTTGCTTTTTATATATGACCAGAAATATTTAGGGTTTGTCTGGATGCGATTCTCGACTTCCGCGTGATAGGATTTGTAGCAAGATTTCATTAGGTTCCTACAACGTTCTGTAAGAAGACGATAAGAAATCAAGTCTAAGGGATAGTGATACTTTTTGTATTTTAGTTTGTACTTATTTTTTTCCTTGTATTTTTGTCCTTGGAAACCCATGACGGATATTTTTTATTCTTTACTCTAGTAACAGGTACATTCTTTATAATTACTTCTTTGATATTATTATAAAAAATGTCTACCATCTGATCGATGTCTTCGACACCTGTGAAAAGTTCACCCCAATCGATCTTGGCTAAATATTTGTTAACTTTGTCATAGTCAACTAGATGAAAAGCCTACGTGTATCAAGATTGTATGGCAGAGTTGGACTACTAGAAAAAGTAATTTCAACTATGAGTGGTGGATGTAAGGGGTCCTCGGTACATAGTATGTCTGTTGCTCGAGAAACAGTGCATGGAATTGTGTCTATTAAGACTAAATCAAGTGTTCTACCCATAGAATTATTAATAAAATTGCATTGTTTTAGGCTGTTTACCATAGAAAAATCAATAGAGCTTTGATATAAGGGAGAAGTCTGTAAATTTTCTGAGTTGTATACACTACTCCAGTTTAAGTTGCTCACATTAAAATCTCCGATGAGGCAAATTTGTGTGTTAAGTTGCTCTTTTACTTTATTTAAATTATCGATAAAATGATTAAGTAGCGAGTTATGAATTGGTGGTGGGAGATACACGGCACAAAAAACAATCTGGTAAGGTAGATGAGGATGAGTCTACTGCTACCCACGGGTCTTCGCATTTGCTATCATAGTGATGAAGCCTTTTGAAGTGAATATTTTTATTAATGGCAATTAAGACTCCTTTCTCTTTATGTGATCTTTATGCGACTTAAATGTAAAGTCCTCTCTATCTCTCCTGTATACTACGTATCTGTTGTCGAATATTTCAGAACTAAGGATGTTTTTATTAAGCCAAGTTTCTGTTAAAATAATATCATAATTACTAGCTAACAAGTTTGACTGTGATTTGACCAACTTTTGCGTTCATATCCCCCATTAGTGGTCAAATCACAGAAGAAGACAGCCTGGCATTG